TGGACAGATAAAAAGACATAGGCTTTTTATTTTTTATTCACCCCAAATATGGGAAATCCCAGAATTCCTCAGAAAGTTCAGTATTATAGGGGGTTACGGCTTTAAAAAAAAACCACTGACTAACCCTAACACTATAATATTGGACTTTCTGGGAAATTTCAGGATAGCCTATGTAGCCCACAGAATAGGACAATGGCAGAATTTACAGGGAAATAGTAACAAAATGTAGAAAAGTAAATGCACTTAAAACCAGTTGTCACAATTATTAAGATATCCAAACATAACTATGAGTGCAAAGAAACACAATATAAGCAACATATTTATTCCAACATTAAGCTACCAGTGTAAAACATGGGTGCTATCTAAAGCCCATGTACGCAAAATGATCACTTGCGAAATGAAAAACCTGAGAAAAGCCACCAACCTTACCATCCGAGATTGATTGAATAATGGTACTGCCAGACAGATTGGGAACGACACCTTGTACTAGATTTAAAAAAAAAAAAACAACAACAACAAATCAAGTGACTGGGCCATTTCATTAGAATGCAGCAAGATCAAATACCATCACAGGTACTACATCTTAGAAGATCAGCTACAAGAGCAAAAGGATAATAGTGAAAAAACATGGATCAACAACATTAAAGAAACTTTACGCCGTCAGACATGACAGTAGCCAGTGGCACTTGCACTGGATCGCAAATTATTCCTCCTCATGACACTTAATGGCAGAAGTGATTTATGATGATGATGATGATTAAAGCATTCAAAGTCTATATAGGAGAAAGAGGGCGAGGTATGTTGCAATTCACTTGTAGAGTCATCTTTTCTTCTTTTCCTTGCCGATGGTTTTCAGATCAGAAGGCTGCATGCCTCTGTGAAGGTTTTAGTACTACACTTATCCTGCTCTGATCCATGCACTTTGACTTCTACTGGAATGCTAACTGGTCAGATCTGGGATCTCCCACTACATGTAGAAAGCATGCCTGCAGCACTTGTTCAGTGTTTGGAGTAACCAGCCTTGAATATCCTGTACATCTAGTCGCAGAGTCTGTAGTGTCTAGTTTGCAGTCTAAATACAATTTTGCTTTGTTTACACCTTTTTTAGGATGATAGAAATTGTACAGTGAATTTTTAGATAATCTAAGCAACATTTTTCTCATTAAAATAGTTGGTTTATTACACCCTTAGTTGATTATCCTTATCAATTTTATCTTTAGGAGTAATTAGCTTATTAGCTTTCTATGATCAACTGTTATATACAGATGGAAGGTTGGCACCATTTACTAAATATTCTCCTAGTATAGAAATACAGCAGTTACTTACTTGTCTATAATTCTTTAATTTGCAGATAATTTACACATATGAAAAGAAAGTTAAAATTGTCTCCTGCTCTGTGAATCAAGAGAGAACTTTGCTTGGTAAGGTACTTTCTAACAGTGACAATGTTTTTTTTTTTCCAGTGAACTTAAACTCTTCCAATACCAGACAGTTTCCTCTCTGAGTTCTGTCTGGTGAAAATGTCAGAATGTTGTAAAAGGTGACTAATTAGGTGCTTTCTGAAACCAGATGTGCTGTTCCTGTGTGGGTTCCAGGGTCCCAGTTTGGGGTATGGGGAAGAGATAGACCCTTCTTCCCCCACCCCCCAGGTGACTAATTAGGTATGTTTCCTTTTAAATTGGAGAGCATCTGCCTGAGAGGCAAGAACATAAAAATGGTCTGCAGATAAATAAGCCAGATCTGTGAATTGGATGTGCATAAGTTCTGGAACAGGACCAAAGCGCAGAAGTGCATAAACAACCAGAAATCTCTGCAAGAGTTTACAGCCGGTGAATGTTCAGAGGAAGAAGGAAGATGTTGGGCCAAAAGATGCAGATATTGCAGTCTAGCTGTAAACCACAACAAAACCTGCCAACCACTCTTAAGGACGAAAGCAGAAGCAAAAAAGATGTATTAGACAGTTGTTACTCATTCTATCTAAGCCAATCAATCAGGTGCCGTCTCCACAATAAAGGTTGGCTGCAATGGATCTCCAACAAGCCCTGTCTCTTGCCCTTGATGTACACTCACTCATACTGTTGTTCGTCCATCTCTTGATGTTATCCTCCCACTTGTAACGATGTCTGCCTCTTGCTCGCCTACCTTAAACCTTTCCCTCTAGGATGATCTTTACAATACTGTTATGTCTTTTAATGTGACCAAAATATTTCACTTGTCTCTGTTTTTTTTCACCTAGCAACTCTCTTTTCATTCCCAATTTCCTCAGTACTTCTGTATTTGATAGCTTTTGTTTCCATGAAATATGACCTAATCTTCTGTATATCCACATCTCCAAAGAATTGATACGATTTTCCAGTTGTTTGTTCATTGTCCATGTCTCTGTGCCATACAGTAAGGCATATCTAAGTAGTCATTACTTAATACTGAATGCATAGTGTTAACACTTCATTTTTATAGACTAGCACTGCCTGGATGATATAGTCAGTATTAAATCATCAGCTTTTTCTCCCCAGGAATTTCTTGTTACTCATTTTATGCTGGGAGAATCAAGAATTTCAGATCAAAGTTTTTAAAAATACCTGCCTCAGGGGCAAGTTAAAACACATGATCACTGGACCGACAAATTAGCATGCTACCCTATAAAATGCTCTAGTAATTAGCATTAACTCTTTAATTACCAGCACTTAACTCTGTAACTCTGTGTCCCTAGCTATTTAACCAAGGTTTGTTCTCACCCTCGTAGAACTACATGTTACATCTGGCTGGTGGTGACCTAATTATGATTTCTTTGGAGGTTGAATTTAGGATCTGCCCTGATGATCTGCTATCCAGCTTGAGATTTTTTAATCTTGAATGGTACGGTAAACCTTTAGGTAGCAAGATTTTGTCGGGTCTGACATGTTTATGTTTATTGTTTGTTTATTCAACGGACCAGCATCATGGTACATGGGTGTAACTCATAAGTGCTCCATTCTTCTTCTAACTCAAGCCTGAATTGAAGAATCTTAGTGCAGTGCACAAACTCTGTTGCACTGGTGAGGATCCTGAAATACTTTTTGTATAGATTTTTAACTCAAAATTTTGCCTGGGCAGCGCCGTTAAGCTACTCTTTTCAATTTCCAACTGCCAAGGGATTTTTTTACGTGCATAACAATACACACAGGCGTCCAGTCTTACTGCCAAGAGACCAGGAGAAATTACTAGAAGTCCACGTGAAAAACATGTTTTTCACTGGTTTTCAAATGGGACAGTTAGGGACATTTTGTGTGGTTTCTACTAACACTGGAACGGAGCAGTTGTGGAGTGATCCTTCTGTAAGGTGTCTAATGACTAACATAGCCCTTTTAAAAATCTTAATAGTAATAATAATTTCAGAAATAAGGATCTGCTTAAATTAGGAAATAGAACTGTGCAGTAATGAATGGCTTTATTTAAGAAATAAAACATGCAAATATGTTTCAGATTAAAAGTATTTTCCTTTAGCAGATGTGATTGAATATCTATCACAGCAGATCTTTATAACTGACCCAGCCTTAAATGAGTACCAGGGAGTGTTTCTAAGAAGTAAAGGTGGATTGTAAGATGTTTACCACATCATCCTTTGAGTGCCAGTCTTCTATAACAAATAAGAGTCTAGCACCATATACCAAATGTACTGGTGCCCTGCAAAGAATCAGTCAGGTTCCGTCTCCTGAAAAGGATCTCCAACACTCTCTGTCTCTTGTCTTGATTGTACCTGCTGTTCTTTTGATGTTGTCCTCCCACTTGTATCATTGTCTATCTCTTGTTCTCTTACCCTCAGTGTTTGATTCCCTCCAGTATAGTTTTTAATAGAGTGTTATATAATTCCATAGCTGACAGTATGTCTATAACATGGTAAGGTCCCAGTCTCTTCCATGATGATCAGTCGTATTCTCTAGTGTACTTTACACCTCATGTGTACTTTAATTTAGCTATTGCATTGACTGACTTTTTATTTGTATCTGTAGCTTTCAGCATTGTGACACCCCGGGAGTTATCAACAGAGAAAAAACCAAAAGGTAGGGGACTATTACTTAATTTATTACTCTTAGCGTGCAAGCGGGACATGAATGAAACAGGTGTTGAGGTGGAAACGTGAGAACAAAATGCCATGGACTGTGTGTGTGTGTGTGTAGGTGGGGGGGGGGGGGGGCACATCAGGAAGGAAATGAGAATGAAGGAAGAAATGATTGCAGAATGGATGAGAGCTGACCGTCTGAGAAGAAACAGACTAAACATAAATATTAACAACAATGGTCCTGAAATTCCATGCTATAGTTGTGAAAGACTTTTCTAAACGCGGGCAGGTCTTGTTAGTCACCCCTGTCATGGGCTGTGAGTCCATGCCTCCTCAGAGCACAATATGACACTGTTGTCTGGAAAGAGGAAAGGTGCCAGTCATTACTGTTGCTTACCTTTCATGTTTGCTAACACAAATTCATTATTTATTAAACTTCTGTTGCATCTGTAAAGACAATATCATTTATGCAGTCACAGTGGAACTTTATACTACATAATACTTCATGTTTCACAATGAAAGTTCATATTTTACATTGTAGCCTAATGTTTATTAATTTAGTTTTTATTATTTTTTATTAATTAATGTCTCATAATTCCCTAAAATTATTCAATATTTATAATGTGCACTATGCCAGTACTAAAATGAACATTTTTCTTTTTAGTTCAGATGTTAATCAACCTCAGTACTAAAATGAAAATTTTCTCTTTTGTTCAGATGTTAATCAAACTCAATACTAAAATGAACATTTTCTCTTTTATTCAAAAGTTAATCAACCTTATCTGGCAACACAAAAAACATGTTTGTTTCTGTTTATTCAGATGTATATCAAGCTTACCTGGCAGAACTGCAGTCAGTGGATAAGACTGTATTTTCTCTCAGCATGGAGCGCTCCACTTTTCTCAAAGTTCAGTTTCTGTACCCAGATCAGCCAAGACAATCACACAACAAGGATTCAGACATGCTGGTTTTCCTTCATAAAGAATGTAATTATGTCCAACAATATATTTAAAAAAAAAATTACTTGGTGCTATTGGTTATTTAGTGTTTATCAGTTTTACTGATTTTATTGTTACTGTATGGTCATCTCTTTCTTTTTCTTCTTCTTCCTTCTTCTTCTTCATCTCCCCTTCCTCCTTCTTCATCATCATCATCGTTTTTTTTCCCGTCTTCTTATTTTTCTTCTTCTTCCTCTTGTTCTTCCTGTTCTTATACTTCTTCTTCTTCTGCTCACCAAGATGTTGTGGGGAGATGTGAAAAATCTTCTGTCTGCTCTTTCTGAGGCCTGGCATAAGATGATCATTTCTTTGAGGCTGTTCTTGATGTAGTCATTCCACTTTCTGTACGGTCTTTCTCTTGCTCTGTGTTCATTGTACTCAGTCTGACAGTTAAATAATCAGATATTATTGTGACCAAAACAAAACAAAAATGCTATCCATGAAACAAAGCATGTCATCCAAACATGCATCATTCATCTGTGATCTTGTAGAACTGTAGCACACGCAGGTCAGCTGACAACAAGTAACTGCTATTTTGTTTAGCTAGTGAAAGTTGTGCCGTTACATATGCAACATGAAGCCAAGGGTGAAAATTAATTCTGTTTCAAACTCAGAAAAGTGCTCTTGAAACAGTTGCACTGATAAGTTATTGAGAATCAGTGTTTATCTCTGTGACAGTTGGTAGCAGGGCACTCAGATGGCCAGATAATCTCATCTATTGCTCTTTATTGAATTGTTTGACTGGGCTTCAGTCCTAGTTTTTTTGAGACCTAAAAAATAAAAAAATAATTTGTCATAAATGTTACAGTGTGATATGAGGGAAATTAAAGCTGAACTATTATGATAATTGCCATACGTTTCTTTGTTGTGAGCACCATGATTTCAAAATTAGTTCATTTTTGGTGGGTTATGCAGTCACATTCAAGACCTTTTTCATGTATAATATGCTTACAATCCAAACAGTAATTTAAATACAGTGACACATGACAGTATAGCAAATGGAGGCACAGAGATTACTGGACAAAAACAGTTTTGTCCAATCATATGTCATGTGGATAAAAACAGTTTTGTCAAACTTATCATTTTCAGCACTGGATTGTATAAATTAAATCTTCATCATCTTCAGAACATGTTGTAATATTTAGACGATGATCATACCTGTGATTGAGCCCCCTGTGAGTTCCGGGGCCTTTTTTTAAGGAAAACAAGAATAGACTCACTGCCTACCCAAAAGCATGTCATAAGAGTCGACTAATTGGGAGCTTCCTTTGAAGTTGGAGTGCATCTGCCTGAGAGGCAAGGAACCAGCAGTCTGCATACAAATCAGATCAGTAAAACGGATGTGCACGCAACACTCAGGTTCTGGAACAGGACTGCAGTCCAGGAGTGGATGAACAGCTAGAACTTTCCACCAGAGTTACAACTGGTGAACGCGAAGAAGAAGAACAAGCCCTTGAAATCTGTGTGTCTGTCAATAATGCCTTGAGCATCAAACAGATAAAAAGCAATACAGTTGCTTCAACATGCACGTGTGAGTCGTTAGACTATTTCGCAATTACTAAGCAAGAAAATCAGAGCTTTTGAATTGAGGTGCTACATAAAAATTGTAACAATAGTCAAAGGAAGATGGGGGGGGGGGGGGCTGACATTCTAAACGAACAGATCTGGACATTGAAGAAAACTGGCTTATTAACCCCATCTTATCTTGGAAACTGAAGTACTTTGGCCATGTATAAAGGTTTTAAATTGCTTGGAAAAAAAAATGATGGAGCGCATGGTACTGGAAAAGAAAGGCCGGTCCTGGCCAAGGTGTGAACAGGACATAACAGACACCTCGGGTAGGAAAGTACAGGTGGCAAGGGAGATGGAGAGTTTCTTTCGGGCAGCCTGTGATTGAGCAGCATTGTGTCAAAGGCAGGCTGCATGATGATAGTGAACTCTGCTTTAAATAATGCTACAGACTGGTGGAAAGTGGACCACTATTACACTGCTACTTCTTTTTTACTGTAACTTATATAATTTGGCTTTGTAAATTGATTTTAATTGCTTTTATCTCTTTTCAGCAATTGGCATGTATAGGGTGCCACTGGGACGAATTGGAGACAAGGGCATTGTGAGTTATATTTACAGTATTATTTTATCAAGTGGTCTTTGTTATCTTGTCAGCTATTATCAAGTGTGAACATCACTGAAGTGATATGAACAGATTCTCAGAACACCATGACCAAAAAGAAAAGAAAAACTGACATCCTAAAAGATGTGAACATCAAGAAGATTGTCTAATAAGCCACATCTTGTCTTAGATCCCCCCCCCCCCCCCCTACCCTCCGATACCCAAGTTTTCTCTGACCTAGAATATGTGAAAGCTAACACTTCACATACTAGTGGCGGTATATGCTATGGGACTATATCTTTTTGTTTAAAGAAACCATATATAAAAACAAGCACAGTTGACAGAAATGATCATTACAGCTTGACAACTTTCATGAGCATACAACAATAAAAGGATATATATGTATATATATATATATATATATATATATATATATATATATATATATATATATATATATATATATATATATATATATATATATATATATATATATATATATATATATATATATATATATATACATACACATATAAAAACTATGTGAAAGTAATTTAATTTGAAAAAAAAAAATATTAAAAAAAACAAGATTTTTGTGACTTTCAGACAGTAATACGAGAGTTGCACTTTGGAAGAAACTGTGATCTCACCAAATAATATTCCTATAGTTAGCCGTGAATACATTGCAGTCGACCTCCATTGTAAAGACTGGTTAATTTCAAATTTAACTTCTTCGGTTCCAAGTAAATCACATTCTTGGGTCAGAACTATTAACTAGCCGCCCATGGGCTAGATCTGGCCTATAAAAGCCTAGCAAATGGCCAGCGGATTATTGCTAGTTGTATTGTATTAACCACCTTTTTTACACTGAGGCTCAGGCCACTGGCCCGAGACGATCCCCATTATCAAAATTTTTGCACTTAAAGTAAACTTAGTTAAATAGCCCTGCTAAATATGGTACACATGTATTTACTTCCTGTCCCATTCTTCTGTTATGTACAACCCTTTTTCCCTGTGCTTGTTATAAGACCTTCTCTCTTAAAGCTGTATTTTTTAGCTTTATGGGTTTAAAAAAAAATTTGCATAGACACTGGTGAATTCAACACTTTCGGGACTTAAAGAGTTCCTATTGCATTGCATAGTAATTCTCATTAAAAATTATGTTCCGGCGTTTGTAACTAATATTTAACTGTTTTCAATGATATTTTTATCATGCAATCTGTTAGACTTATAACATTATTGAATTAGGTTTTTATACTATTTTACAAGTTTCAATAATGTAAGTATAATTAGAAAGTTCACTAGTATAAGTATAGTTAGAGCATATTCCAGAGTTTGTAATTAAGACCTAGATGTTACTAACATTTGTTATTATTAACTATGAAATGATATACAAATTAATAACTGTCTGCTAGGGCAGAATGTTAGACGGATGTGTATGCCTAATGCTACACCCTTTAAAAAAAAAGTATGTTCGTTCATATAACTTCACTATATTACTTGTGAACTTCACTGTCACAATGTCAACAGATAATGAGTGGACAGCCAAAAACAGAACAAGTAGTGCGCAAATTTGTTTGGTGCCAGTGGGACACCACACAGCAGCGTTTACATTATATAGAGAACGTCAGGTCAGAGGTCAATGGTGAACCTCAAATTACGCAGAAGTTGTCCACTATACAGTTCAGAAGTATGGGCAAGTATGAAAATATGGTATGTTATTTTTTTGTGAGCCATTTTTATTGGCTGTTTGTTTTAAGAAAAAGCAGTATTGCATGGGTTGAAAAATACTTCAAATATTTTCAAATATGGCAAGACAGGACCGGACCAAAAGGCATGCATCACCATATTGGACCGTCATTTGCCAATCAGTTTCATCTCTTTATTGATTTTTAAAAGAAATTGATAATAGAGCGCTGCTTCTCTTTGGTGCATGTCAAACATGGGGTTACCATCTTTAAACTGTCATTAAGATGTCATGTGTTCATCTATATCATGACCTGTTGACATTTTGTAATACTGTAATATTGACAGGTTGCTAGACAAACACATGGAATTCTAATTTCCATTACATTTTTAAGGTATTGATTTCTAGTCCTCAGATGTTTAGAAAAGACCCTTTTCTAGGCCTTCAGGCATATTGGGGATATAATGCTAAACCTATATTTTATAGACCAATCAGCACTTGGTGGGTGAGGTGGTGAGTATCGTGCCAGCCACCTTTATTTCCCAGGACTGTACTTGGTATCCACTCAAGGCTGGGTCGACCTAAAAACCGGGTCATTAAAAATAAAAAATAAAAGTTTGGTTCCGTCAGGAGCCGATCCCATGGCCTTCCAATCCCCAGGTGTGCATCTAGCCGCTACACAATGGTGGCTCACCCTTGTATTTAGAGCCAGTCGTGATGTATGGAAGTAGTTTTTAGTTAGTCTGTAGGTCAGTGGGAAATTATTTGTGGAGATGTGGTTTTGTAGAAGAAGGATGAGAACTGGTTATCTGCTCAGAAAAACAATCCACATTCTTTGGCTAGTCGTAGTTCTGTAACTTAGAGAGTAGTGAATGCTTTTAATACTTTCATGATCCTGGAGCACTAGGGCCTGAATTTTGTGGTGGACAATTTTTTAAATAAAAAGCATTCTCACAGCTTTCAGACAGTAGTACAAGAGTTTCATCATGAAACAGATTAGGGCTTCACTGTGTAATATTCCCAAAGACAACTCTAGTGAACCTTCTTTATGGAGACAGCACAGCATTTTTGAGGGCTTATATCATCAGAAGGAGGAAACTAGAGTATGTTATGACAGCAGGAGACTTGAAAGGCAAGAGATGCAGGGAAGACCAGAGAGAGAGAGAGGACACTGATTAGTTTGTATTATTGCAAAGATAAATATTTGTATCAGAAATAGCTGAAAAGTAATAATTGTTGCATATGTAAGTGTTTGGTAGTGTCCAAGTTTGGTCCCGTTAGGATATTATTGTTTCTTACAAGGCATGCATTTAAAGAAGAGAAAGACGTAAAACATGAGGTAGACCAAGGACAAAATGGAAAGCTAGCCTCAGGAAAACTTCAAAACAGCACACTGTGACTCTGGTCAAGTCTGTCAGAAGAGCAAGCAGCAGAACCTGATGTCTATGTCAATTCTTGAAGCTGTAAAAGAAGAAGCACAGAAGAAGAAGCATAGTATTTGTATGTGTACGGTATTTATTTTCTCCTACTTCGAGGGTGTAGTTATATTTTGATATACCAGCTGGTATATCAGTCTGTCATCTTGTCTAACTATGAAAATATACTGTTAGATTATATATTAGAAATGTATCATTTTGTTTGATTAAAATGCAAGATTGTATTTTTTTTAAGTACTGTACAAATTTATATGAAGGAGTTTGTCCCCTTACAACCCTTGCTTTTCTTGGTTGTTCATCATTATGTGCTATAATGCTGCGTTGTAGTTTTACTTTCTGCTCTACTATCTATATTTTTATTACCTCATGGTACATATCTGCCCAGTATCTGTCATATTTGCTTTACTATCTGTCAGCCCCCATTCTATGGTGCTGTTTATCTTTCCTTTCTTTACTGTTATCTGTATTTTTCTGTGCCACAGTGCTGTTTATTTGTCCTGCTGGCACTATTATTTTGTTCCATACCATGAAGCAAGACTGCTTTGTATATTTCTTTTTTACTCTCTCTCTATCTTTTTATTTTTATTTTTTGGGGACAAGATTTGAAACCCCTGTCTACCCATGAAACAGATTAGGTAAAAATAAGATAAGGTAAAAATATCAGCATGATCCATAGGTTGTCATTTCCATCTATGCCTGCGTGTATTGGGAACGGAAATAAAGCTGGCTCCACGCACAGTGGACTTCTGTAATGACTCAAGCCACTGCCTTCGCACCATACCTGCCTGAACCCTCTCCCTTCCGCGTATATTTTTCCATTTGGCGGGGTGCAAAACTACTTGATATCTCTCTGTTCTGCCCCACCACCAATATTTTCACATGCCATATTAAAAGACTGTATTGTATCATTCTTTTGTACTCCACTTATTCTTTTTTTTAAACATGGTACACAGTTTTACAGCATCTTGTGTGTGCGTGCGTGCAGGTTGGTGGGTGGGCACTTGCGTGCACATGCATGGTACAAGACTACAGCATCTGTTCTTTGTGCTCAGTTATCTACTTCCTTCCGTGGATCCTGTTCCTTGGGGCAGTTTAGAAAATATATCCAATGTGATTAACCCATTCTGTACCAAATACTAAGCAGTGTACTATTCATTTGTTAGATGTTTGAACTCTTAAATGCTGCTCATTTGTTACATTTACCCACTATATCCTTATTTATTATTTCTTCTTCAGTGGGTAGTTATTGTTAACTACAATAGTTCCTCCTTTTTCAAGTAACATTCGTTTATGATACTATAAATTGAGGAAAAAAAATTTTTTTTTTAAAGCTGCCTAAGACAGAAAAAGTTAAACAATTTGCTAGTTCATGCTTAATGAATTGCTTTTGTCTGCATAAAAATTTCTATTGTTATTATTATTATTATTAAGAGGTTTTCTTATTTCTCTTTTTCTTATCTGTAGATTGACATCCCAATAAATTTCCCATTTCCATACATCAGAACAGCCGATAAGTAAGACATATGTGTTTTGTGTATGTCTGTCCTGCTTGTTGAATTAATTAGTTAGTTGGGTTATCATTGCACTCTGGACATGCCCATAGGTGTTCAGATCTTCCCCTCAGTATGAACCCCAGCGTTCTGTGGCTAATGGTACCAGTTCTGCATTGATTAACTCTTTGAGTCCCAGGGGGTTTTGCATCAGAGGCCCAAGGGGGGTAATATGATTTTGACTTTTAACAAATGCAGCACTTTAAAACAAACCACACAACTGTAGCTGATGTGCAACATACACATATCATACATGAAAATAAACATAAATGGAAAAGGATTAATAATAGCATACTGCTACAATAAACAATTATACTGTAAGTTAGTATTTAGTAGAGAAAACAGGGACTTAGTTTGAGAGGTAAATAAATTATGAACAAGTTTTTTCCACTTACCCAGAAGCTGATCCCAAAATTCTTGATATAGTATATCCAAAATGCATCACAAAGGAAGGTACACCACTTATAAGTATGCACAACCAATATTAAAGCAAAATGTGCAATAGTTGCTGTTCCATAGCAATTTTAATAACACCACCATAACACATCAAAATGTATTCTCCAGTGGCACAAACAGTGACTTTTCTAAAAACAATTTAATTCCTCACATAGCAAAAACTGTAAAGGCACTGTAAACATGTCAACCTGTTCATAGATATATATGTATGGTTTTAGATTATATGGATAGTAGTACTAGAAGCGCTGACATTTGGATTAGCTGGTGTCGCGTTACGAGGTGCTTCTCTTGTGTTGCCATGGCAGAATTAGTCAGTTTGTCCTCTTAGCAGGAGGTAAATTACGCACACATCCCTCATCAAAACTTGACCCGTCAACAGTTTGGAGAAATTGCATGTCGCTACTATCATTATCCAACTCCACATTACTTTGATCAATCCACTGTTTATCAAATGTGTTGCTTCTAAAGCAGAATTCTTATGTGCCTGGTGTGCGTCTCATTTTTGTGCTATGCCAACCTTGATTCCCAAGTCTATCATTCTGGTGAGTGATGTGGATTCACTGCCCCTAAAGTGCTCCACCCTTCCCATTTCTCGGAGGGAATTAATAATATCATTGTGATCCAGAGGTTGGCCGTCGCTAGTGATAGTGGATCCACCAGCCTATCAGCTCTTTCATTTCCATCACACCTGTATATTCCGGAATGAAAATAAAGGTGACTCCACACATAGGGGACTTCTGAAATGTATGACTCAAGCCACTGCCTCCGCACCATACCCGCCTGAACCCTACAGATCATGCTAATTGAATCACTGAGTACACATACCCAGGTGTAGTTCTGTTTCAAGCCACCTGTTCATGTGTCTATTTAGTTGTTTTGAAATTATTAAGACTACTTTCATCAGTGACTACTTTGTAAAATTTATATTTTTACTATGCGTTTGCACATTTACTATCTCCTGTATTTTCTCATTGTGCTGGGTCCTTTATATTTATTACTTTCTGTTCCCCATTTGGTTTCCAAGGCCTTTTGTTTTTCTTTTAAAGAAATAGACCAAGTGCCCGTAACAAACAAAAAATACCACACACACAAAAAAAAGCCAGTTGTTCTTTACAGAACCAAACTCCATAATTTTTTTTTTTTTTTTTGCTGCTTATAATTTTACTAGGCAGTTTTGTTACGTTCAGTATTTTGCGACTGCTTTCCTAACAGTCGGCTGTTGATAGCACTGCTGAGAACAGCGCAAGACAGTCTGCTAGCAATATGTGTAATAAAAGACTAATTAGGAGTTTGCTGAAGTTGGATATGATAGACTGCAATAGAGAGATCCTAAGTGTGACCAGTTGGCATTCTGTTGGAAACCTAGCTGAATAGATCAGTGGACAATATGTGAAGCATCACAGCCTTCTAGAGGCCAGTGGCTTTCTCATCTGAAAACCACTGTCAGGGAGAGCAAAAAGAAGAAGAAGGTGGCTTAGAGGCAGGGGTATGAGAGTCACATTGAGGAAGAAACTAAGGCCCCACCAAATAATATTTCTAAAGGCAACAGTGGATGCACTGCTGCCAACTTTCATTATGGGGATGGCACAACATTTTGTTATCTACTTTATTACAATCAGAACTGGAACTCCGTGCTTGCTGCTGAAGACGAAGACAGAGCACTTATGGGAATGTCCCAAGTGCTGTGATTTGGTTCTTAGCTCATAACTCATCTACTTTGTTGTACTTCTTGATGCATGATGAGAGTATGGCCCACATTAAAAAAAATCTAATTTCACTTATAATTAATTAGTGTTATTTGTTTAATTAATATTTGTTTGAGAAAATATATCAGTTTATTAAAAGTTAAAAGGTAAAGCCAGGAGATGTGAACCAGCTTCATTGCACATGTTATAAACCATAATTGCTCTGCCACCAGTACGGACAGCTGATAAGAAACTGTCTACCTGTGCCGCCGTCCGCACAAACTCCATAGCTACAGCGATGTTCCTCCATTTACCCCAGAGTGTCAAATCTGGTACCCATTTTCCAGAGGCTGGGTAATCCCCGGGAACCGTCCAGTTTTGATCACCTGCCATGGGCTGCAGTGAGTCACAGCTGGATTTGGAAGCGAGTCTCCTATCGACTGGGCTAACGCGGTCCCCCACCTGATCATTTAATGTCATAATATGATAATCAAACATGTTGCATTTCATGCAATACAAACTGTTCTTGTTGCATTACAGGCCACACTATGGAGATATACCACTGTATCCTGGAATTCCAGGTGAGCGACAAAACATTGTTTTATAGTAATTTAATCTGTATAGAAGTTGCATAGTGATTTGTGCGCTTGTTTGCAGAGATAGAGTTCCAAATTCAGTTCTTAGTTGTGATAGTGTAGTGGCTAGACCCTCAGCTACTGGTCCAAAGGTTTTTTTGTTAAAATCTGCATCAGGCAGACTTTTTCTCCATCAGAAGTGACCTTAGCTCTCGGGTCGATCCAGACTTAACTGGGTGTCAGATAATGTCCTCGGGTTTTTTAAATTGGTTGGCAGGAGGTTAGTCACATCTTTTGTTGTCTGTAATGACATGTGTTGTAGGTTCTTTTTCTTCTAGTCCATGCAAGCAGTATGAATCTGGGGAGAGCCAAACCTCATTTAAAGGGGTACTAGGTAATTTCCTGAAGTTCCTTACATGTACAGAATTGCAGATTATGTTATTTTTTTTTTTTTAGTGTTATCACAGTTAACATCACTGCACATTGGGCATTCCCATCCATGCGCACAGTCAACATCACTGCACATTGGGCATTCCCATCCATGCGCACAGTCAACATCACTGCACATTGGGCATTCCCATCCATGCGCACAGTCAACATCACTGCACATTGGGCATTCCCATCCATGCGCCACTCCTCCAATGCTGCAGCCATTCCAGGGTTCCCACGAGGAGTTAATTATAATGTCTCTTATCTCAGCCTGGAGAGTGGCATAGACATCCTTTTCCATGCTGTCCCCCGCAGATCACACATTTATGTTAGTGTCAGAGATTCATCCTTATTCACTAGCCGAGCCTCTACAGTGTTGAGGATATCTCCTTTGTCCTCTGCAAATTATACCTGGCTGTTGTAGCCATTACAGGTGCCATAATTATAACTTCTTTTGAGGTTGAACAGTGTATCCTGTATCTGCCCTGTTGGTCTACCATCCAGATGGAGACATTACAGGTGCCATAATTATAACTTCTGTAGAGGTTGAACAGTGTATCCTGTATCTGCCCTGTTGGTCTACCATCCAGACGGAGATAGTAAATCTCAGGGTAGTATCCCAGAATAGACAAATCACTCAGACGATCAATGTTCTGAATTTTATTAGAATTGTTGGGAAAGAAAGGTAATGAGGAAGAAAACTAGCTATGCCAGCTCTTGTTGTGGACTTGAATGTGTGAATTCCTAGCAAGTCACACTTCACACAGAAGCAGCAGCCACTGATATGGTACTTCTTATAGTCCATGCCATAGGGCATTGGTAGTCATGCTTGTCCATAACCTTCTGTCTCATGTACTTTCAGTCTTTTCTGACACAGATGATCTTCCATACCATGATGTTATACTGTCTGGTATCTTCTCTCCTGGTCTCCCTATGCCTCTTTTCCCCTCCAACTTCCTCCCTGGCACGGTGCACTCCTGTATTCTCCTTCTCACAACATGACCAGTAAATGTATTTTGTCTCCTACTGATGTGGGTGGGTAATCATATCTCTTCATAAATCAGTTTCTTTCAAGACTTTTTCTGGACTCTTTATCTGCCCAGGGTATTCTCATTTTTCATCTATAAAACCACATCTCTGCCTCTTGCTATGGTACTGCTTATGTTAATATGTATGTGATTTCAGTATGTATGTGATTTCAATCAAAGTTTTTTTAAAAATCTTGTAACAAACAATTTTAAAAATATAATTATGTTAGTAGACAGGCAGATATTTTAAGTAAAAACTACAAAAACCATGTAATGTTTGTAAGGTTTATAGTGAATGTATGTATGTTTCTAGAGCTGACAGTGAATGTATGTATGTTTCTAGAGCTGTCAGTGAATGTATGTATGTTTCTAGAGCTGACAGTGAATGTATGTATGTTTCTAGAGCTGTCAGTGAATGTATGTATGTTTCTAGAGCTGACAGTGAATGTATGTATGTTTCTAGAGCTGACAGTGAATGTATGTATGTTTCTAGAGCTGTCAGTGAATGTATGTATGTTTCTAGAGCTGATAGTGAATGTATGTATGTTTCTAGAGCTGACAGTGAATGTATGTATGTTTCTAGAGCTGACAGTGAATGTAGCTGTGCTGACGCAGCCGAGCGGAGCCTTCTGCCTCTGCTACCACAAGCAGATTAATCATTCTAAAGAAAAAGCTACCCATCAGGTAAATATGTTATGTTATCACAACTGTCATCCCTGTACATTAGGTATTTCAATGTGTGCTTAGTACTGTGATGCAGCAGCCACTCCAAGGTACCTGTACTGATTGTTCCCACAACAAGAGCTTACAACTTGAAATTATAAGCACTAGGAGGTAGAGGACCACCAAAAAGAAAATGGACTGAAGGAATCACTGATGCCTTAAAACTCCACAACATTACAGCATATTGGACAACCAAGCATGCCTTTACTCGGAAGCCAGTCGTCTGTTAACCTGCGGTGCTAAGCAGAAAGTGAACAAAAGAAAGAAGAATTCACCATCGAATGATGTTTCACATGTAGTATTCATCTTAGAAAGGCTATCTGATATTGATACAATGTAGTTTATGTGACTGTGCTAATCTCGTCTCCTTGATTTTATTCTCAGAGTCTGAGCTCCAGTCAAGATGTAGAGTACTATATAAGTATGATACACCACGGTAAGCAGTGTCTTCTTCATCGTAACGTTAAATTGATACTTCAGCTAGTGAGTGCTAGGTATGTTATCACAATCAGTGTTACTGCAGATTAGGCATTCTCATGCATGCTGGATCCTCTGATGCAGCAGACACTCCAAGGTACTTCTGCTAATTGTTCCCATGAGAGGTTGGTTATAATGTCTCCTGTCTCTGATAGTTTGTTACCTCCTGAGTGATAGTGCGCTTGCCTGCCAAGAGAGTGGTCTGGGTTTGTAACTTCAGCCTAGTGAATGCCAGCACGCTTGCCTGCCAAGACAGTTTTCTGGGTTCATACTTCAGCTAGTGAGTGCTAGTGTGCTTGTCTGCCAAAGCAATGGTCTGAGTTCAGTCTCCAGTAGTGGCAGGATATTTTCAGATCTCTATGACCCATCATTATCAATCAGCAGATCATTTACAGAACATCGTTTTCATTACACCTGAAAGTCTTTCTTTTTCTAGCCACTTCTCAGCCCTATGTGCTTTCATAAAAAATACATCTCCACCGTCTCATATTCACCTTGGTCAGAGTCTGCTTCTGCCTCATTTTCCAGTAATTTCACACTCCATTGCCCCTTCTCTCTAAGCCACCTCGATATTTATCATGGCCACAATACCTCAGCTTTTTGGACAAGAAGCTTATTTTTTAAGCCAAGTCTCCTCAATGCTCAGATCATGTCAGATTTTTTCATTTTTCTTCTTTTTGGTCCATGATATTCTAAGAGTTTGTGTGTAGCATTTCAGTTCAAAGGCTGCAATTTGTTTTCTTTAGTGAACCTGTAAGAGTCCATGATATTCTAAGAGTTTGTGTGTAGCATTTCAGTTCAAAGGCTGCAATTTGTTTTCTTGTAGCTTGGAATATTTCAAGACCCCAGAAGCAATATCTGCTACATGGCTTTCTTTACCCTTGAATGTTTATGATACATTTATGCATGTGTTTGTGTGAGCAAGACTGAAGATGAAAATCTGGATTTCCAAGAAGATTGCTATCTTTACTTGTTTTATACTGTCACTGCATAAGCATTACTCGTTCTAATACTGTTATTTTTCTTAGCTAAACTTATGCTATTTGAATACTCTAACAGACATTTACCTTTTTTCTATCATGTTTTCAGTATTCATTATCAAATTTTATTTGCAGTAAGCCACTTCTATAAACTTGAATAGAGAAGCTTTTGTACTTGCAGATTTTAAATATTAAGGCGTGTTATCTTATCAATCACACTGTGTTAAAAAGGTCTCTCTTATATTCAGATGGTTAAACCCAGTTGGAATTATATTTGCTTGTTGAATTTGTGCATCTCCTTTATAGATTGCACACCTAATTTCTGGCCACATTTAATTGTTTTTTTTCTCTCCCTGTAACGAAGGTCTACAAAAGTGCTTTTTATAATTAATGTATTAATTATAAGGTATCTATGGCTTAGGGGCCATGCATGCAGTTTTCATAATTCTAACACAGCAGGTTTAATTCAGCTGCAGGGGATTTGTCAGAAGACTGCTTTACATTAAATTCAATAATAGTATGAGAATCAACTGCTCACAACAATGGCAAGCTGCTGAACATAAATGTCTTACTTTCAACAGTTAATACATTTTCTAACAACTAATTCTGAATGAAACTCCAGAACTGCAGTTTTATATTTTATTTCTGTTATTTTTTAATTTTTCATTTATTCTTCCAGCAAAAACTCTATATGGGTGTGTGTCTAACATTCCAAAAGATGTTGCAATACAAAAACGACTTGTATTTTCATGGTTGGGTAAGTATTTGTTTGTTCAGATTAGCTGAAAGTAGACCATTTAGTTTTAGTTGAAGCCTGTTATAAAACTGAATAAAAATAAAGAATCACTGTATACAGAATTCATTCTTAGATAAGCATTTACAGCTTTTGATTTTAAGATAGATTACCTCTGCACACAGTCTCAGTACAGAATACAGTGTCTTACAGCATTAGCATTACTGAGCTTAGAAACAATGGCCAATGGCTCTGAATATGAAACCTAAGGAAAAGATAAAATATTATTTAAGTTGTTTGACATGTGGTATCATGACAAGATGCAAAGAATAACCAGACATTAGAGATATCAACACACAAAAAAAAAAATGTTTAATCTGGGTTGAATTGGTCATAATTTTAGACAAATCTAAGGACTGTTGAGCTATTGACAATACTTAAGTACAAAATCTGAAGAAAAAAAAGGATTGGGGGGGGGGGGGGAGAAGGAGTATGTCTAGCTAGAACATACAAAAGCATTGACATTCAGGCTGATTTAGATTCGGGGTAAAAAAAAGATAAGAAATATGATATAGGATCATATTTGGCAGCAAAAGTAAACTTCGGACTGACTAACCTTATAAATACGAATTGTTTTTATTTTTTTCAAAGCCATAGCAAGAGCTGGCATAGATAATTCTCTTCATCACTTTTCTTTCCTTCCCAAAAACTCTAATAAAATTCAAACATTGATCATTTTATCAGTTTTTCCATTCCAAGAAGCTACCTGAAGGTCTACCACCCTGAGATACAATCTCAGTTTGGATGGTAGACCAACATGGCAGATACAAGATACCCTGTCTAGATAAGCAGTGTTTTACCCTGAATCTGAAACTAACAATTTCTTGTTTTATAAGTTAATCATAGTAGCAGTTTTAGGTGCATCTGTTAGAAAAAACTGGTAAAATAATGTGATTTAGCCTTCTCTAATTGTTCTGTAATTCTCACAGCTTCATTGTGGTTAACCTCATGTTGTTTGCAATGTATTTTAAATGTATTTATGCATTATTTGTTAAACACAGGCAGTTACCTGGTGGTGATGCTTCCTGGCTACTTTCTGCATCTGTTGAACGTGAGCCCCAGCTTTGAGCCATGCCATCATATATTACTTCATGGTAAGGCATCAATCCCACTGTGTGTGTGACAATTTTTTTTTTCTTAACATATTTTTCAACTTTATCTTTTTCCATCTCATCCTTCCTCTACTCAGCTTCTTCTTCTTCTTCCCTTCTTCTTTTACTCACCTTCTTTGAATTCTTCTTTTTTTATCTTCTCCTTCCTCTACTCAACTTCTTCTTCTTCTACCCTTCTTCTTTTACTCTTCTTCTTCTTCTACTCCTGGTCCTAATCTTCCCCCTCATCTCCTCTTCCTCATCATTAGCATTCCAACCTCCACATGAATGTGTGTAATAAGTACAGTAGTAAATCTCCGGTTTGTGGTATTCTGTAGTATCTTTGCTGTGGGAAATTTCCTATTCCCACATTTGTTACATAATTAATCAGTCAACATCATTATCACTTGATAAGTAGTGTTGTCAGTATCTTACCAGTTTTAACCATGCCGCCCCATGAAGATTAAATCTAGTTACTTCCACTTGTGACGCAGTCCTGTAAAATTCTGCAGTGACCCGTTCTCGAAGAGCCTAGTTAAATTTTGTATGCATTTGTGCAGTGTTTATGGAACCTGATTATAAATATATTAAATGAAAGTAGCATTTTAGATCCTTATGTGCCCATTGTTTTTTAAAGCTGGGGTGAATATTTTTTTTAAATGTCAAGAATTTTTTTATTTTTTGGAACTGTTCATATAACAATATATTTTCTAGCGAAGAGTCTATGCTGGTTTATCTATTACTCATATAACCCTACTTGATTGTTGCTGTTATTATATTGTTGTCATATTTTCTTGCCTAGTTGTAAAAATATTTTTTTTTTCAAAGTTACTATGTTTTCCTCTTCTTTTTTTCATACATTTACAGATTCCAAAGCTGAACTTCTGAGAGTCCCTGATGGTCGATCAATGTCTGTTCCGGTAAAGTGAGTATAAAGATCTTTAATTTCAACATGTCTCTATCCTTTCCCTCTTTTCATTACATGTTATATGACTAGCAAACCATAGCATAAATCAGTCTTTTCCATTTGATAGAAAACAAATTTAAGAGATGTGTAATATCATTTGCCTGTGTGCATGCCATAATCTTTTCCTTAGTTTTCCTATTCAGAGCCATTGGCCATTTAAAGATTAAGAACACATTCTGACCAAAATGTATCTGCAAACTATTTCCTTTGTTGTGGGATCTATTGTCCTCTATTTGATCACCTTTTGTTATGTTGGGTGCAATATGCTGTGGCATGGAAGTCTGTTCTGTACAGGACAACAAATGATTGACATAGAAAATTCTGCTGTTATGAATTTCCCATTAATACTATTACCCAGGGGGCTAGTTAAGATTACAAGTCAGAAGACAAGACCTCATATGTAGACAGTATACAGAGATAATCTAAAACAGTGAAATATCCTAAAAGATCCGATTATTTTAGACCAAATCTAAATTAAAGCAAGACAGTGGAAGCAACCATGCTGCGGCAGCTAGATGTTTGCCTGCTGATCGGAAAGTCAAGGGTTCAGATTCAAATGGAGTTACATTTTTTTTAATGACCTCATGCAGCTCACCCTATGTCCTTACTTTATTTTTAAATTCATTCTTTAACTCTCTTCACCTAATCCCATTTTTAGTATCAAATAAACATTAAATCAATCAATATATATATATATATAATATGTGTACATGCTAAAGCATACACTTGGTTAGTAAGGAGGACAAATAAATTCATCAAGGTTTTGCCCACATGTGGGCAGCACGTTTTCTAGAGTCTAGCAAATAATATGAATTCAGAGGAATTAGCAGCAGTAGATCACATTAGACTGATAATAGTTTAGTTATGACCACCTACTGACATATCAGCTGACAGAAATATGTGCAATCCTCACCATGTGTCTGATTTGAAAATGAAAAACAATAATAGGAATCCAGAGGAATTAGCAGCAACAGATCAAATTAGAATGATAATAGTTTAGTTATGACCACCTACTGACATATCAGCTGAGAGAAATATGTGCAATCCTCACCATGTGTCTGATTTTAAAATGAAGTCGAAAGTGCTAAAGAGGAGGAAGTAACCCTGAGTTGATCTTCCCAATTCTCATCCACTTTTTCACTTTAGAAAAAAGACGTTTATAATATTGCTGTTATGAAGCACAAGTTAATAGGTGAGAAACAGACCAGCTTGTCACATATACTCAAGAGGGGCAGAACCTGAAAAAGGCTGGAGATCACTGATGTAGAAAGTGTTGATTCTATGGCAGACCTTCAAAAAATAAGAGGGGTCGACAGATGTTAGATAATTGGGAACTAGTATAACCAATTATTTTGATGGTGTTTATTTTATGTTTTTTGTTGGTGTTTTTTTTTTTTTTAACTTTTGAACAAAACTGTTTTCCTCAGTGTGTGTCTTTATTTATTCAAGACCAGCATATTTTTCCCTCACCTCTTCATTCACTGGAATTTGGTTTAATTGTGATGCAGGATAAAAATTATTGATCTAAAGAAAATGGTAAAATTATCATAATTCTGCTGTAAACTGGGTGCTACCATGCAGCAGCAGCTAGATGTTCGCCTGTTGATCAGAAAGTCTAGGGTTCAGATCAGATTGGGTTACTTTTTTTTTTTAAATGACCTTATGCAGCTCACCCTATGTCCTTACTCTCTATTTAAATGACCTTGTGCAGCTCACCCTATGTCCTTACTCTCTATTTAAATGACCTTATGCAGCTCACCCTATGTCCTTACTCTCTATTTAAATGACCTTATGCAGCTCACCCTATGTCCTTACTCTCTATTTAAATGACCTTGTGCAGCTCACCCTATGTCCTTTCTCTCTATTTAAATGACCTTATGCAGCTCACCCTATGTCCTTTCTCTCTATTTAAATGACCTTGTGCAGCTCACCCTATGTCCTTTCTCTCTATTTAAATGACCTTATGCAGCTCACCCTATGTCCTTACTCTCTATTTAAATGACCTTGTGCAGCTCACCCTATGTCCTTTCTCTCTATTTAAATGACCTTATGCAGCTCACCCTATGTCCTTTCTCTCTATTTAAATGACCTTATGCAGCTCACCCTATGTCCTTACTCTCTATTTAAATTCATGTTTTAGCTCTTGACACCATGCGTTTTGGTTTGTCTTTATTTCTATGCTCTTGTGGGTTCCAGTGTAAAGACATTCTAGTTACATTGTTTTCAGGTTTTCTCAACATATGTCCTTTCCAATGACGCTGTCTTTTATTCACATCTTGATACATCAGTTTGTTATTTCCCAGAGCTCAACATTGGTGATTTTGTCATACTGTTTAACTCCCACTGTTCTATGCAGTCACCATGTAATGACTGTTTGTAGTTTATTAGTAATAGTCTTAGTTCTTCTCCATGTTTCTGCTCCATACAGTGATTTGACATTAGAATTAAAAATTTTAAATTTAATGTTAGTTTTAATTTCCTTTGACTTCTACAAATGTCCTAGTGCTGTTGAAACTCTTGCCATGTATGTTTTAATATCCCTTTCACTTCCTCCATCTTTACCTACATTTTTGCCCAAATAGGTGTTTGACTTCACATCTATAAATAGTAGGAGAAAAAAAAGAATATAACATTTTCAAGTTGTTGAATGTACTTAATTTATTTTACAGGCCCACCCTTGAGGAGAGTGAAGGAGCCCAGAAAAGCTACGATAAGTCAGTGTCAGTGATTTCCTTTGGGAGTTCTGATGCTGATCTGTCACAGACTAATTTTTCATCACACTTTGTGATTCCAGTGTTCTCTGATCATTGTGTGGCTATGAAGACCTTGCTGCCGTGTCAGAGCTTTGTCAGAGAGTCAGGATCAATAGGTTAGGGATTTTACATTTCCACTGATACTGTCAAAAGGTCTAATAAATTGTCTTACATTGAAACAAAATATGTCTCTTTTTGTAGTAACATGTTCATTCATATTTGATGCTATCAGTGCAAAGACATAAAAAGTGAGTGGGTCAGAGGAACAGAAAGTTAACCACCTGTGGAGTGTACTGTCTCAGACAGGTCACATTCAGCAGAAGAGAACTCCTAGCTATTTTCTTCTTGGTGTTCCCCAGCTGTAAATTCCTGTGGAAAATTCTAGTTGTTCATCCAATCCTAAACTTGGTCTTAATACAGAAATTGAGTTCTGCATGCACATCCATTTTACATTTCTGGCTTATTTGTATGCAGACCATTGGTTTCTTGCTACTCAGGGAAATGCACTCGGAATTTGAAGGAAACACCCCCTAAATAGTAGCCTCCTATGACGTGCTTGTTAGGGGATAGTGAGTCCATTCTTTGTTCTCCAACATGCAGCCCTGGAACCCATATGGAGAGACAGGGACATGAATACTAACTGGCATCAGAGGAAAGGTTGGAGCCAGGGTTACCTGATTACATGGAAAAACTGAGAATGAAGTGCTTTGGCAGTCAAGACTGCAGAATTCAGCCAAGCCAAGCCGAATATCAGCGATTCTAGACAGAAACATTTGGGCAGAAAGCAAGATGAAGACCAGGAAAGCATGGATAGATAATGAAACTGAATCTTAACCATAGGGAAATAAAACCCATCACTCAAACCACTCAAGAAGTTGCTAGACGATTACACAAACCCATGACACTGGGCTACAATGTGGTGGAAAAAAAAGTACGATAAAAACAATAAGCTAATTGAGACAGATGAGACAGGTAAAAGTATCATGTGGAATACATTGTCTTAAAGTCACAGTTAAATGTATCATGTGGAATACATTGTCTTAGAGTCACAATTAAATGGATAGTAAGAAGCCAGAATGTTGCCTCATAAAAAGTGAGTTAATATAACAACTGGCTGAACATTGATGAAGTGGCTCATGTTGTATGCCTTATGCGGTGGGTATGTGTGTTAACGTTTAGACTGTTATTTAATTTTTGTTCGTAAATGCAGCTATTTTGTATGTCAAGCATCTTGCTTTTTTCCCCCCAAAAATACTGTTGTTACCTTTCCTTTGGAGTAAACACAGTTAATCATGGACAATGTATTGTCTCTGCAATAATGCCCAGGCTTTGTGCTGTGAAGATGTTTGAAAGGATGAGAGCTCAGTGGTTGAGATAAAACAGACTAAATACAAATGTTGGCAACAACGGTCCTGAAATTCCACGCAATAATTTTGGAAAACTGTTTTTTTTTAATCACGAGCACGTCTTGCTAGTCAGACTCCCCATTGCCATGAGCTGTGAGTCCCACCACGAGCGGGTCTTGTTAGTCAGTTTCCCCATCGCCATGAGCTGTGAGTCCCACCACGAGCGGGTCTTGTTAGTCAGACTCCCCATTGCCATGAGCTGTGAGTCCCACCACGAGCGGGTCTTGTTAGTCAGACTCCCCATTGCCATGAGCTGTGAGTCCCACCACAAGCGGGTCTTGCTAGTCAAACTCTCCATTGCCATGAGCTGTGAGTCCCACCACAAGCGGGTCTTGCTAGTCAAACTCCCCGTTGCCATGAGCTGTGAGTCCCACCACGAGCAGGTCTTGCTAGTCAAACTCCCCATTGCCATGAGCTGTGAGTCCCACCTCGAGCAGGTCTTGTTAGTCAGACTCCCCATTGCCATGAGCTGTGAGTCCCACCTCAAGCAGGTCTTGTTAGTCAGACTCCCCATTGCCATGAGCTGTGAGTCCCACCACGAGCGGGTCTTGTTAGTCAGACTCCCCATTGCCATGAGCTGTGAGTCCCATGGCTCTTTATAGCACAGTATTACTCTATCATCTGGAAAGATGGAAAGGTGCCAACAAAATCCTGCTTTTCGCTCCCCAACCCACTTTCCTTTTGTAAGAAAAATAAAATTTATAGAATAACCAATAGATTATTTGGTGTGTTAACAGTAATTTTAAAATGAGTAATTTACCTTTACCAATCTGATTATAATTGTCTGTTAAAAATATTGTCAGTTTTAATATCAACATTTGTATTGTACATTTTGTTATTTTGTCATTTATGTTGTTTATCTAAGCCAGCCTAGCAACATATGACATACTGTACTAAATGAATTAAGCAGTACAATAATGTATTTATCTCTGGCTGGTAATAATAAGTATGGCCTTCTTTGCCAGGAAGGTTGGCTACAGTGCACCCTTGCTGTCTGTTGAAATACCCTAATTTTTTCAACTGTCTGACTCTCATACCACTGCCCCAAAACCAGGAGAGCAGTTTTAATAAAGAATAAAACCCTTCATGACATAAATTGAACCCTAGTACTCAAGGATCATGAAACTGTTAAACCCATTAACTAACCTCTAAGCCACAGAGGCATGTTGTAGTGCATTTTCAAATTGGTGCCGCTGTTCACAAAATTATATCTTAGCTGTAGTGGAGTATAAATGGATGAAATTATATATTAATATTTACTTCATTGACAGCATTATGTCAGATTTTTGTTTTGTCCATAACAAGTACTTAGAATGCATTTTTGCTTGTTTAAGGTATAAAAATATATCTTTTAAGAGTTATACAGCACAACATTCAAATATAACTAGTCAGTCTTTCACACAAAAACATGTGTTCCTGATGTTTAACATAAATTCTGAATAAGACTACAAATGTTACTCTGAAAGTGTCAAAATGCACTGTGCTGCCAAATTTCATCACAAGTTGTGAAGGTGTAATTTAATATGGATAGTTTCTGTCTTATCAGAATGGTGCTGAACGTTAAATTAGTTGCACTAAAAAAATAGGACAATGCAGTTACATAAATATTTATCATTTGAGGCTAAATACAGTTGTCTGGATCATTCTGTTTCAGACCCATAGAAAAGAAGAAAGAAATGCCCTGGGTATTACTGACCAGAAATTCTCAAGATGGGCTACAAAAGAGTCAGATCTTTCTACATATGTTGAGCGAGGAAGGAAAAATAAAATTGATAGCTTTGACAGAGAAGTTATTAAACAAGCAATGTTAAGAATGATGGGGAAAAAGAATTATTAATGCTGAAGAAATCCAAATTAAACTTTGACAGAACCATGACACTGATGTGTCCTAAAGCTCATTATGGAAAAAATTTTAAGAGATACAGGGACTTATGTCCTCATGATAAACAATTGCAGAAATGCCTCTGTTTTCTATCAAACTTGTAATTCATGTCATTATTGCAAAATTTGTTTGTTATCTAACTAAAATTAAACAAGTGATTAAAAAAAACACAAAGAAAACGAATGTTTCCACACAAATTGGCAGTTTAAGTGCTATTTATGTATAAAACAAAAACATTGAGATAAAAATAGGAGCCCATGCAAACAATTACATTCCTAGGATAAGTAATTACTGAGAAATTATTGAAAATACCACAGCTTGAATTTATAAACTGACTATAGCATTTCTGTGATATTACGAGCACATTATTATTAGTGTTGAAAACACTGCAGTTTGTGTATTTATAACTATATTATATTTGTATTACATATTCATTTCTTTATTGTTTTGTTTTTCAAATCTAACTCAGCCCAGCATTTATATGACTATAGAAGTGGTTGCCTGATGAAGCTTGTTCTCAATACTGATTTGATGATTGAAAGTTTTCGCAATGCCTACTGGGAAACCCAGCTGGCCATTCTCCATTACCTGCTCCTTCACAACAAAGATCCACTGGCTGTTAAAATGGTTGGTCTGGTTTTTATAATGTTTCTCTTTCAGCCCCAGATAGTTTCAAAGTAGAAACCCAATTTGGCCTAATAATCACAGTGAAAAAAGTATTGTGCTGACTTTCAAAGATACAGCAAATACTATGCTGCTTTTAAAATATTTGGCCAGATTTATTTTGCATACCTAGACTAAGCATGAAATACAAAATAACACACCATGTGTTGTATTAATACACATAGGCATAGAGGTTGCTTAGGAAAGGAAAAAACAAGTTAAAAATAGATTTACTAAGTTGATTAAGTGAGAGACACACTAAAAAAAAACACAGTGTGACATTAACACAATCATTAACACTCAGCAAAATCCTGGATACTACAACTAACTCCTCTCTGTAAGGCTTTATGGCATAAGCAGTAGGACAAAAGAAGAAGGAAAGATCATTTGAATGTTTACAGAATGAGAAACCTGGGATTGTTGATTGTTGGTTAGACATCTATTCTTCTTGAACAAGGGCGCATAACTCACACATGTATTAACAAGGTCCATAAAGGAAGTGAAGATTAGTAATAATAACTTCCGGTCAAAATGGACACTAGGCAGGGGCACTGTTTGGAGCTGAGGCAAATTTTTTGCTTCTGCCCGATGGTGGCCGATGCATTTTTTGTCGCCCAACTTCTGAGTTGAAGGCATGGCTTGACACTGTGAGATGCAAATTTCATTTGGAATGTTTTTTTTGACTGTGACCAACGTGGAGGTGTGAATTGTTAGCACTTTGGATGGCTACCCTATGCTTTAATGCGTGTGTATGCTAAATATGCTGAGACAGCATTCTGTCAATCTTTCAACAAGGGACTGTGATAAACATTCTGTGTGTTTTTAGTTGGCACACGAGCGGAGCAAAGATGGGGTGACCCGTTTGCTATGAAACTGAAACTAAGACCACCAAACTACCAGACTACCAGTAATAATGTAACTACTATTTATGTTACAAGAGGCAACTAATGAGGGTTGGCACCAATCTGAACACTTCATCCTGTAGAAAACTAAAGCTGCAGAATGTAATCTATCATGAACTTGTCTACAAATAACTTGACATAATTTCATCTTCTTATCATTCATTGGCTGTAAAGTCCAGCAGAAAGTTCTGATTGTTCACCCATTTCTGGATGTTGTTCATGTTTCAGAACTTGAGGTTTCTGTGCACATCCAGTTTACATATCTGGTTTATTTGTATACAGACAGTTGGTTCCTCACCTCTCTGGCAAATGGACTCTGCCTTGGAAGGAAACTCCCATAATAGTTGCCTTGTATGACAAGCTTGTTGGTAGGACAGTGGCTTTATTCCACTCCTCTCCCCCCTCCAGAATGAGGCCTCAGAGTCCATAAGGGGAACTTGGCATGATTCTTTTCATGGATTATGCTTTACTGAGAAATGAAATTATTAACAGCATATTCATGCCAAAACTGTGCTACCAGTGCTGGCCAAACTTGGACATTATCAAAGGCCAACCAACATAAAATTAACTCTTGTGAAATGAATTGCCTCAGGAAAGCCACCAGCATAACCTTCTGTTGAGGAGTAGAAAATCAGGGGTTTGGTTATCACATTGACTACCAACACAAGCACTACACATGACATGATCTAACATGAAAGCAAGAGGTTGCCCTAGAAGAAGATGGATTGATGACATTAAAGATCTTCTGCATTGACATGGAATGACACTAGACATTGCTACCCATTATGCAATTGATTGCAAACTATTCCTCCCCACGATGCTTAATGACAGAAATGGACATTGATGATGATGGTGGTGATGGGAAATAAAAGGCAGAAGAACAAGAGGAAGGAGAGGAAGGAGGCCCTGTTCCATCCTGATGGTCAAGATTCCTATTCTAAGCATGCTTGTGTGTTCCCAAACCAGGCAATGCAAAAGCTGAGTGCTTATTTTGTACCATCATGGTGGGAAATAACTTTTTCTGTCTTACAGTCTTGTAGCATTTGAAGTTTTCTGCAGGTTTTATCACAGTGAAGACCACAATTGATCCTCCGTTTGTAAGCCAAATCTGTATCTGACCAGGAACATGAGATCGCTGTGAGGCCTGATTTTGGCACATCAGTACCACTGAATTCCAGTTTAACAGTATCAATATACTAATGTTCACATTTACCATCAACACGTTTTAAATGTTGTTTTTTAAATATTTTTGTAAATCTCACAGTGACTGCTGTCTGTATTTACCACTTTTTAGGCCGTGTAGACAGGGGGTCGTGAGTCTGAAAATTTAGCACCCTATAGATCTTGCTATTGTCACGAACTTTGGAGGTTAGGATGTTTAATTTTGCTCCCCAACAGAAAAACTCCATCACCTTACCAGAGTTTTCCATCTTTTTGTTTTCTCAGCTTTTTGATGTTGTAACTGAAGACCTGAGTAACTCGGAGGTTAACAGCATGTTCTCAGAGTATCTGATAGGTAAGTTTCAACAGTAGATGAATGTCTATTTGTATAATCAAAATGCATGCATCCACCAAAGGTGCTTGTACAGTCTTCTAGACTGAGGGGCATTCAGATGTCTTTGACTGCCGGTTAATATGTGATGTTAATGTGAAAACCAAAGTATCATAAATTTTCATTAACCAAAGTATCATAAATTTTCATTAACCAAAGTATCATAAATTTTCATTAACCAAAGTATCATAAATTTTCATTAACCAAAGTATCATAAATTTTCATTAACCAAAGTATCATAAATTTTCATTAACCAAAGTATCATAAATTTTCATTAACCAAAGTATCATAAATTTTCATTAACCAAAGTATCATAAATTTTCATTAACCAAAGTATCATAAATTTTCATTAACCATTGTATCATAAATTTTCATTACTAAACAGTCCGTCAGATAGTAAGTCAAACAGTCAGTCGAACAATCATTCAGATGTCTGATTGTAGGTTAATATGTGATGTTAATGTGAAAACCAAAGTATCATAAATTTTCATTAACCATTGTATCATAAATTTTCATTAACCATTGTATCATAAATTTTCATTACTAAACAGTCCGTCAGATAGTAAGTCAAACAGTCAGTCGAACAATCATTCAGATGTCTGATTGTAGGTTAATATGTGATGTTAATGTGAAAACCAAAGTATCATAAATTTTCATTAACCATTGTATCATAAATTTTCATTAACCATTGTATCATAAATTTTCATTAACCAAAGTATCATAAATTTTCATTAACCATTGTATCATAAATTTTCATTAACCATTGTATCATAAATTTTCATTAACCATTGTATCATAAATTTTCATTAACCATTGTATCATAAATTTTCATTAACCATTGTATCATAAATTTTCACTAACCAAAGTATCATAAATTTTCATTAACCATTGTATCATAAATTTTCATTAACCATTGTATCATAAATTTTCATTAACCATTGTATCACAAATTTTCATTAACCAAAGTATCATAAATTTTCATTAACCAAAGTATCATAAATTTTCATTAACCAAAGTATCATAAATTTTCATTACTAAACAGTCCGTCAGATAGTAAGTCAAGCAGTCAGTCGAACAATCATTCAGTTGTCTGATTGTAGGTTAATATGTGATGTTAATGTGAAAACCACAAGATATTTGAACCCCCCCCCCCACACACACACACATTCAACATCCTCTTCTTATTCCCAGTCTCTAAAACCTATGTAATTGGTTGCTTTCATTTCATAACAGTATGATAATATAATTCGTGACAAGGTAAATATATTGAAACCATTTATACTTCTAAGTAGATATGCATTCTAATAATGTAACACATTCTTGGATAATATTTAAACGGTAAAAAGGAAATATTTAGATTAGTAAGTTACAACCTTTTAAACAATAATTAGCTGTTGGACACTGATGTGTGTGCTGAGAGGGGAATCTGAGCACCCATGGATGTGTCCGGAGTGCCATGAGGATAACTCAGAACATAACATAGTAATCAACAAACCAAGCTTATTAAAGATGCCAGAATTGTTAATCATCATCATCATGTGCCTAGTTAATTGTTCAAAGAGCAAAGAAATTCATTTAAAGTACTTTATATCAAGACATTTTCTCATTAAAACTTGACATGGTTCAAATTTATGAATCAACAGCTTCAACATTTGCAGAGATGAAGAAACAAGTTGACAGAGAAGTTCTAAACCTGCTGTCATTCACATTTACACAGACACTCCGTGGACAGGTTGAGAAGGTATTCCTGCATAACTGTTTTTTATTATTGGGTGTTTTGTAAGCTTTGGCTGTAGCACCCTACCTAAATACTGGAAGGTCACGCTGTTTTTAACTGAGTTTGCTATGAGTGTGCTGTTTCTAGACTGGCAGCAGTTGGGACACTTTATGATGTAGTAGCTTTTGGTGAACACACTCACATCAGCTAACATCCTGGAGATTTTATACAATGTACATATGTATATATATAAAAAAAATTTTTTTTTTAAATCAGAACATGTCTCCCTCCCCATGTGGGTTCCAGGACCCCATTGTAGGGGGGGGGGAAGGGGAGAAATAGACCTATTGCTTCTTCAACAAGCACGTTGTAGGGGTCGACTAATTAGGGCTTTCCTTCAGAGTCAGAGTACATCTGCCTGAGAGGCAAGGAACCAACATTCTGCATACAAATAATCTAGTTTTGAAAATTTGCATGTAAGCAGAACTTAAGTTCTGTAACAAGACTAAAGTACAGATGTGAATGAACTACCTCAATTCTTGAAATAAGTACCAGATGTTTATCTGAATTAAAGCCACTGAACATAGGCAATTAGGCATGCTGAAAGACTATCTCTTTTTGGGTTCTGCAGCCCCATTTTTGGAGGGAAGATGACTAGATCAATTGCTCTTTAACAGTGTATATATAATAAACAAATAAATAATATATTGACTAGCACTCACAGAAAGAAGTAGAAAGATAGAAGGACACACTGTTAGTTAGTTTACTATCCTTTACAGGACGTTTCAGAACGAGCCCCAGCAATTTTTGGCTGTTGTGGTTTTTCTAGGCAAATTTTACATTCAGTAGTTTGTCAGTGGTTTGTCCTTGCTTTCTGGAGGGTCGGCTTCTCGATACCACTGTCAAAACCACTGCAAGTCGCAGGGCCCGCAGCTGGAATCGAACCCAGCACCCCGGCATTACAAAGCTTGTTTGCAATGCCTAAGCTACATACGCCAACAACATAACAATCAGAACCATAGTTACCGTGCCGGGAATCGAACCCATCACATCCAAGTGGCGTGTGCGCCTTGTACACTTGTTTCCATAGGGAGGCGCACATGCCATTTGGAGGTGACAGGTTCGATTCCCAGCACAGTAACTATCGCTTTTGATTTTTATGTTGTCTAGTGTGTCCTTCTATCTTTATACTTCTTTCTGTATGTGTGCTGGTCAGTACATTATTTATTTGTATATTATATCTATAAAATTTCTATGACCTCAAGGGTTCCCCCTCTGTTTATTTACTGCTTCTTAACAAGCATGTCATAAAAGCTGACTAATTAAATATATGCTGAAATCTAATGTGTTTGGCTGGAAATCCCAGATATAACAGTTAGTTTGTTATGTATCCTTTACAGAATGTTGCGGATCCAACCCCAGCATTTTTTGGCTTTTGGGGCTTTTCTAGACAAATTTTACATTCAGTAGTTTGTCATTGCTGCTGAACGGTCAGCTCTCGGTACCACTGTTGAAATCAATGCAAGACAAATCGTCTGCAGCTGGGATTGTACCCGGCACCCCGGCATTACAAAGCATGTTTGCAACATCTAAGCCACAGACACTGACTATAACAGCCTAGCTGTAAACCACAACAGAGCATGCAAACTGCCTTTTTATAAGATAAACATTGAAGAAGAAGAAAACTATGTTGGAATGAGGGAAGATATCCTTGTTATTTCACAGACTTACAGAAGTAGCCTTTCAGGGATTCGTTTTATAATTGAGAAATAGAAATCTAAAGATCCAAAAGCAGAGGTATTTTGAACGTGGTAAACGTCATGGCAGTCTGGTGAGAACAGTGCTGGAGGGAAAATGAGGCAGAGACAAACCTCCGAAGATATGGATGCAAGATATTGAAGATGCATTGCCTAGGAAGCGGCTGGAGAATTGGCTAGAGAAAGAGAGACTTTCAGGCGTGCAGGATAAGAGTGATGTTCTGTAAAGAACCTACTGATTGATGATGATGATGATGATGAAAGGCATTCCTTTCCTTTCTTCAAAGATAGAAACCTTTTAGTTTCTCTGTGTATATTCTGTGTGTATTCATGTTTCAGAACCACACTGGACATAGATTGGCTCACATTTCATACAACTCTCTGGAAATTATAAACCTGAGTAAGAAGTGGTTGAAAGAAAGTAAATCGAGAGCAGTTGAGGACTTTTGGGGTGTTCTCTTTCGGCGCTTGCGACTACAACAACAAAAAGTGCCTCCCAGATTTTCACACGATTCTGTTATGTCAGTTTACAGACAAGCTGAAGTTGAAGAGGCAACTGGAAAGGTTTGTCTTTTTTTTTAATGAAATAATTTCTATTGTGTTTTGTTTCTCTTCTTCTTCTTCTTCTTCTTTCGTTAACACCTAGAGGACTAAACTGCCAACACAGTTTCATCTAAAATCCTAGGGGATTGAACTGCCCACACAATTTTACCTAAAAACCTTCCAGTTACAGTCCCTGGCATTTCCCCGGGGTATTTATTCCCCTGTCCCACGTGTCTCATCAGTCTACTGGCAAGCCATCAACCTGGCTGCTTCGACATACTAAGCTAAGTGACTGTGTATTTGTGTTTTATTGTTTTATTTATGTATGTGCTGATGAAGGCTCCATAGCCAATGCGTTCACGCTTTGTTTGTGTTTGTTAAATTGTGAAGCTTGCTGATATACTTTTTGTTCAGTTTTATATCTTTTCTTGATTCTTCTTTCTTTTGTAATCTCACTGATACCAGGTTGTGACCCAGTGTCATGGTTTTTCGTTCTGGTCTTGCTCTTCTTGGGTGGTTTGGGTGATGGTTTTGCTTATCTTTTTGCAGGTTACAGCTACACCTTTTACCCTTCTCTGTCTTGATCTTTTCCTCACTTTCCTCTCTGACATTCTGCTGTATAAAAGCTTATATATAGTTTGGTCTGGCTACAGTCTCACTATATGGCCAAACAGTTTCATTCTTTGCCTGTCAATATATTTTAGACACAGTATTATTCCAAAATAAAATTTGTTTCTTTTATTTAGATAGATTGTCTTCAGGCCTGAAGGTCTTAGATTCAAATCAGTATCAAGGCAGAATTTTTGCAAGAGGGCTTCAAACAAACACGATAAAACTGGGATAGAATAGAAGTTACAATAGCCATGTCATTGTCTTGTACCCTATTAGTATTGTGGTTAAGGATGTCAGGAGTGTAAAGCACATAACATCACAGGGCAGGTGAACACAGTGATGTCATTTTAATGACAGTTTATCCCTCTCATTCTTGGTCTTCCCCAATACTTCCTCCCAGATGTTTTGTTGTAAAAAATCTCATAATCAGGTTTGTTTGACTGCATTCTCACTAGATGGCTGAACTATTTCATTGTTTCACAAAACAACATCAAAATGTCAGTGAGTGGTGAGTAGAGTTTGTGGAAGCTATTCAACATTGAAGTGGAAACAAAGGCGGACTTTTAATCAAGTTGCAAGTGGTACTCTTAGCATGTCAACTCTTCATTGGTTACTGAACAGAGCACGTGTGGGAAAGTCCTGAGTGTAGTGATGTCAATTTGCGATGTTCCTTGCACGTATCCTAGGCTGTTGTCTATGAGTGTGCTCTAACTGATGGTATAACCAACAGAGTGCGTTGACACCGATGTTATAAGCAAAGAGACATCTGCATGATAACGATGTTTATTGACAATAATTCACTCACAAATATGTGTTCTTAAACCTCCAATAAGTCGAACATTCAATCGCACCCGTATTCAGACATCAACACTTAGAACATTCACGTACAAGCACTCAGTAGTTTTCCATCTTCCACTCCACATCTCTGGACAGGTGACTTCGGTCGTACCCTCGTGGTCTCTGCCCATTGACTCTGTGTAGCTGCTGATTACCTGTGTAGCTGGTTCGTTGCTGAAGATGATATTCGAGTTGTTGTCTTGAAGTATTCTCTGTCGTCGTTAGGTATTCTTCACATTCATACCGAATCACAAAACACGTCCTCACACTCTGACTGGCAAACACATACTGTCTAATCAGAACATGGTCTGATATTATAGCCAGGTGTTGGGCTCCACGTGGTCGTCTCTCCTCCTTGAGAACCTCGTTTTCTCCTAGTATTTGGCTTCTCTCAGTTTTCTGTCATACCTCGGGTGTTCCCCCTACCTTCTTAATCAGGGAATCCCTGTGTGAAAATATCTCACATTACACAGTTCTTGATAGATTGATTCATTGATTAATAGTTTGTCAATATAATTCAGACACTGTCTTTTTTCCAACTTTCTCTCTAATTCTGGTATTTGTAACTCTGTCCCTTCTGAACTACAATTAACTTGACATATTTATATGTTTTATAATTGGTATATGTTACAGTCCATGTGGAACCCAATGCATGTTGAGGACTCATTTTTTGATGGAACCTATTCTGTCAAGCTGGCAGACAAACCTAAATTACAGCAGGCTGACAGAGAACTGTCTCTGGAAGACAGTGCTAGTGGTGGACGCAGCAAACTGGACCTAAGCCTTGGTCCAGCTCCTGTGTTTTTGCAGACCCAGATACAGAATTCCAAAATTTTCAAGAGACGATTATCCATTCTTGTAAGTATAATATACGTCAGTGTCGCGGGATGGTTTGATATTATTTAATTCGCGATTCTGCTGTACTTGAGATACTTTCACTTAATAAATTTGTACTCTATTTGTTTCTCTTTTATATGGTTTTTTACTTCTTAAAATTCTGACATAATTGGTTTTAGTTTGGCTTCAACATTTTCTTTGCCAGATCATATTTTGTTCTTTTATACTCATAAAATAACTGTTTAACGTTTCTTAAAACCTGAATCATTTTGCAGTTTGAGGAGATGTTGATGCTAAAATCATAACTCTATACATAAGTTAAAGACAGGGAAGAAATGTTTAACTCATTTCTTCTGCAGACTAAAGATATGCTCACCAAGCACCTGACCAGCTACCTAAGTAAAGAGTCCCAGTCTAAAGCCAAAAATGTAGCTTCAGAATATTTGCATTGCCAGGTAAAAATCCACATTTCTTTTTTTCACTTTCTGGTTTGTTTTATTATATATATATATATATATATATATATATATTTTTTAAAAAAAAATTTTTTTTTTATTTTGCTGCTCAACTTCCATTTGTGTGTTATTAGTTATTTTCTTTCATTATCATGTTCAGATAGCTATCTTTAAAGGGATTTTTTTTTTTTTTTCACTTAAGTTCTTGTTTTCTGTTGTTTGTTTGCTGAGAAAAACTTGTATTAGTAGATGACAGAAGTCATGTAAAAAAAATCCCATATTAAAAGTAATTTTTTGCATACAACATACTTACTAATCAAAGACTGACATTTGCGGTCATTAAATGAGTTTTAAAGTGATACATACTGTTGTATAATTATTAATTGTGGGCAACATAACAACAACAAAACTTATAAATATCATATCAGTACCATGGTGGAAAGCAAAAAAAAAAAAAAAAAAAAACAGTCTTTTAAGGCACTGATGAAAACCATATATTTATTATTTATAACCATATATTTTATTTATTATATATAGTTTAGTCTGGCTACATTCTCACTATATGGCCAAACAGTTTCATTCTTTGCCTGTCGATATATTTTAGACACGGTCTTTTTCCAAAATAAGACATAGTCAAGATTGTTTGGTCATGTTATGAGAGGAAATAAACTTGAAAACTTCATGATAATAGACAAGTTTTATGGGAGGAGAAAAAAAACGAGTTGGATGCATGGATGGCTTGACGGTATGAAAAAAATAAGGATAAGAAAAAATACCTCACCCTAGAATTCAGCACTTGTGTGAGTTTATGAACCATTGCAATCAATGCTTATCATCAAGGTACATACATAGCCTCCAGGTTGATGCAGCCTTAAATGGGTACCAAGGAAAGTCCTAGGAAATAAAGGCGGCCAGCATATTGTTACCACATCAACCATTGAGAACTGATTGGTCTGTAAGAATATGAGTCTAGTCTCACATGTTCTATGCACCACTGGTGTGTCAAGGGACGTTTAGTTTACATAATAATGGCATTAAACTTTCATACGCTGAATCCCACATTGGGTTCTTGGACACATTTGTGGAGAGAGAGAAAAACCTGCCATAAAAAGTGACTGATTCAGAGTTTTCTTAAATTAGAAAAGGGCAGATATTGCAGCCTAGCTGTAAACTACAACACAGTGTATGAGCCATGCTTTTTAAGGGTAAGCACAGAAGAAGCAAAGTTTAGCGGTTTCACAGTGGATAGATAGCCAAGGCATGGTAACTGCTGGGAGTCTTTGATGTTGTTCACATCTTATTTCACTAAATGACAACCAGTGACTGTGACATAATATAGTGTCACAATACATCATAGTGTTCATAATGCATTATAATCCCAACTGTTTTATTTCCAGCTATGTTTTCTAAATGTTTTAATTATTATCACAGCTTTCCTTTTTCGTTGTTTATATTTTACATTTGGATAATTTGTCTCTTTAACTAGGCCAAAATTTCACGCCAGTTGTGCCATCTGATTTGGAGTTTGCGTGGCCATCATTTGTCTTATCAGGATAAATTCCTCCCTAATCTGTAAGTTTGTTGCTTCCTAGCTTTGCTAATTTTAAAGGTCAAAGTTCTCAACTGTCAAAATTTTATTAATTAGTAATTTGCTGACTGCAAGCCAACTGACTGGCAGCCGTTATTGCTGAGATGCCTGGCTACCAGGTCTAAAAGGTCATTAAGATAATTAAGAGTGATGCTATTAGACCTGAAATGCTGGTGTCCAGACATCATATTAGGGTTATCCGCCTGCATCAAGCTGGCTACTGCTACTTTTCCAGAGAAATGTATGATTCTAGGCTGGATCCGAACTCACACTGATCAGAGTAAAAGTGCAGTCCTGCCTCTACTGAGAATTGAATATTAGACTGTTATGTTAGCAGATAAGTACAGTAGCTAGCAACTGCATCAGCACAGCTCCTGTAATTTTCATTTGTGAGTTTAAAAATCTATATGACCATACATTAACTAGCTGACCATTTTTCCTTACATAACAGGGAGACACCTGGCACAGACAAAGAATATGAACTGTTTCAACTGTATGAAAGATTCTACCTCACTGTTGGAGATTTAGGCTTTCCTTTACCACCGGGTCAGTTATCTCTCATTTGCTATTGTTGTGATTCTTGTTTGGTTTCTGAATGGACCATAGTAAATTTGTAATTGCTGTTAGTACAAATTAGACATGAACTACATGGACAGAAAGATTGTTTACTCAACATAAACATAAAATTGTGAAAACAAAATATTAATCTAAACATGAACAACAGCTTCAAAAAACCACAGTTCTAAGTGATAATATGAAAGTTGCACCTAGAAAACTTCATCTGTATCTGATACAAATGGGCAATTATAGAAACACTAACAGGAACACATCAAACTACTTCATGGTGAGATCTGGCACAAAATCTCCATAACTCGTTTCAACCATAAAAACTTTGCAGTATGTGTGCTATTGCAAGCGATATCTATTGGACAGGAAGTCGCTCAGATAAGGGGAATGAGAGGGCATGTAAGAGGTTACAACAAGGGATGTAAGTCTCAAATATAGATAAAACTGTGTTGGACATTAGGGCCTTTAGGGGAGGGTGGAAAAAAACCCTATGTAACCAATAAATGATAAAAACAGAGATGGTTGCAGTCAAGCTAAAATCAAAGGAATAATCTACTTATCTTTGACTTGGAAGCTTAACAGAAGGGGAAATGATAATAATGTACTCGTACAAGATAAAAAAACATTTTGGCCTAAGTCTTCAATTTAAAAAAAAAATATTTTAAAAAGACAACTTTCAAGATATTTTCAGACTATTTTGAGTAGCAGAGTTAATGGTCATAGCCTCCATGTCGGAAACAATTTGGTGATTCTGAGAATTAAAATGGAAAGGCACCGTTGGAAAGATACTGACCAGTTGACTTTACCCTACTGACACAGTCCTGTAGCAAATACCTCTTCTGGGATTTGAAGTTTGAGGCTTTCACTTATTCTGTGCCATGACAAATTTTCATGAGATTGAGTCTACCCCGAGCCATACTGGTCGGGGAGAAAAAAAAAATATGCCTGAGAACTGAACCAGGACCACTGTCTTGGCAGGTAAGTATACCAGACTGTGACACTGCTTCTCCATTAACACAGAAAAAATCAGAGAGAAGGTAAGTAGAGTAAAATAAAAGTCCCTTTTTATGCCTTTGGTGCATTAGGCATTTAGTATTTAACATGTTTGTATAGACCAGTTGACACTCAGTGAGTGATGTGATCAGCATCACGCCAGCCACCTTGATATTGCTGGTACCTGGTACCCATTTTAGGCTGAGTTGACCTCGCAGCCAAGGTCATCAGTTTTGGAGGGGGAAAAACTCTGCTAGATGCAGATTTGAACCCTAGACATTCGGTCTGGCAGATATGCATTTGACTGCTGCATCATCATGCCTACCTGTGAAGGTAAGAGATCAGCAAAACAGTTCCACAATTTATGTGATTAATGTTGCTCAGGAAATGTTGACCCAGTGGTTCTGAGGGCTGTTGTGTTATTTGTTGTCAAACAGTGCTCTTCTGCAGATGAACATCAGGATCTAGAATTAGTTATAGTAGTGTTGTCCATCTACTGGTCGGCAGACATCGAAAGCTCCATGGAACACATTTAAGAAGTCTGAGATATCATTTACAAAAAACCTTCAGCTTCACACAATCCTTTTTGCAGTTCTAATATAAATTTATTTTGTTTCTAATTTATGACTAGTAAAAAGTGTGGGACCCATGGCAGACCTTTAAAAATAAGAAGGGTCCAGAGATGTCAGCTAATTGGAAACCGCTGAGTTATTATAGACTACGGAGAATACAATATATATTGTAGTGAATCTATGAAAGGATAGTACAGGTACAATAGTTAAAAAAATATGACACAGAGCAAAAAATACATACTAAATTGTGGTAATATCAACTAGAAGTCTTGTGTTAACTTTGTTATTGTTTTGCATCTGCTGCTTGATGGGCTTAATAACTGCGGAGACAAATCATAAATGCCCGACGTCCAGATAAGCTGTGACTCACATCCACACATCAGATATAATCAATATTTGTTTCATTTCTCTCTACAGGTTTCATCAGCTTTTTTACTTCTCTGGGATTCAAGTGTCTGGAACTTCAGTAAGTTCACATATCCAGCAGATGTTTTTATTTATCTTTAAGTGACTGAAAGATTGCCAGGTGTAACATCTGTCTACTGTTTTGTTTGATTCAGGAATGTCCTAAATCATTTGACTTAATGAGACCTCTAGTCTCAGTCTGGAAGCGACCATGTAGCAGTTAGATGCTTGCCTGCAGATCTGAAGGTCATGAGTTCAAATCTGCATAGAGCTGGATTTTTTCGAGCATGACTTTGTCTCCCGGGTCAGCCCAGCCTTAAATGGGTACCAGGTAAAGTTCTGTGGAAAAAAATGGCTGGCATTATGTTGACCACTGTGCATTTATAATTCAGTAAACAAAACTTGAAAATGATACATCTAGAATGTTCCTTGACCTAAAAGCCACAGAGTGACAGGATTGAAGGCAGACCAAAAACACAGAGAAGGGAATTCCAGAGTGAGGTGAAAAATATGGGGAGGACATGGGACGAGCTGCTTGTGAGAGCAAAGGATAGGACATCACAACTTCCTGCAAGTTGGTTGAAGGTTTATGCTCTAAAGGGACCAAAGAAGAGGGAAGAAGTCAAAACACTGAACATACTGACACCAGTTATACAACCCTACTAACAGTATCTATATGTCTCTGGTTGCTTTATATTGTTTTTTGTTTGCTTTCAGGTGCACTGTAAATACAACATTAACTCTGTCCATTATCAGCATGTTTTTGTTATTCTGTTCTCTGATAATTTTTCTTCCTTTTTTTTACTCATTTTCATAATTTAACTACAGCTTTTCCCACCTTTTGCCGCGGATCTGAAGGTCGTGGGTTCGCTCCCTGGCGGAGCCGGACTTTTTTTCAAAAATGACCTTGGCTTCCAGGTCAACCCAGCCTTGAGTGGGTACCGGGTGCAGTCCCGGGTAGTAGAGGCAACCGGCCTGATGCTGACCACATCAACCATCTTGTGCCGATTGATCTATAAAAATATAGGTCTAGCCCTATATGCCCTATTCGCCTAAAGGTGTGGAAAAGGGTCCTTTACTTTTTTTTACTTTACTTTTCCCACCTTCTTTTTCATTCATTTATGTTTTCAGTTGTAGAGCATTCTGTTGGGGTTTAACCAAAATAAAAGAGAATCTCAGTAAACAAAACAAACAAAACAGATATTATTGCATATTCATTAAAACAACATTATGTGGTGCATATCTCAGAAAAACAACATTATTTGGTGCAAATCTCAGTAAAACAACATTATGTGGTGCATTTCTCAGTAAAACAACATTATGTGGTGCGTATCTCAGTAAAACAACATTATGTGGTGCATATCTCAGTAAAACAACATTATGTGGTGCATATCTCAGTAAAACAACATTATGTGGTGCGTATCTCAGTAAAACAACATTATGTGGTGCGTATCTCAGTAAAACAACATTATGTGGTGCATATCTCAGTAAAACAACATTATGTGGTGCATATCTCAGTAAAACAACATTATGTGGTGCATATCTCAGTAAAACAACATTATGTGGTGCATATCTCAGTAAAACAACATTATTTGGTGCAAATCTCAGGACAGCAACATTATGTGGTTCACATCTCTGTAGATCAACATTATGTGGTTCACATCTCTGTAGATCAACATTATGTGGTTCACATCTCTGTAGATCGACATTATGTGGTTTACATCTCAGTAAAACAACATTCTGTGATTCACATACTAGTAAAACAAAATTACTGTTTGCCAGTCTATAGAGTGCAGATCTCATTAAAACAATATACCTGGCATACATTCCAGTAAAACAACATTTTGTGGTGTTTATCTCAGTAAAATAAAATTATGTGGTGTAAATCTGAATAAAGCAACATTCAGTGGTGTTCATCTTAGTAAAACAATACTGGGCGGCATACATTCCTATGTATGTGGAGGACGTATCTAAGTAAAATAACATTATTCTTTGCCAATTTCAGTAAAACAGCATTATGTGGTGTATATCTCAGCAAAACAACATTATGTGTTGCATATATAAGTAAAGAAACATTATTTTGTGCACATCTTAGCACATTATTTTGTGAACATCTGAGTAAAACAACATTATATGGTGCATATCTCAGTAGGTACACATCTTATTGCTCTCTTTGATGCCCTGCCTGATGCCAATCTTGTTGCATGGCCAAACCATTAGATTTTCTTGTCTTTTATAAAGTTCAGTACTGGTTCTGTGCCAACTCATCCTCTTGATACCATATTTCCTCGTTAAACCTAGCATAGTACGTAAACATTTCATTTCTGTCGTGGCTAATTTTCTTTTGCCTTCAGAAGACAGTGTTCATATTTGACATTGAAAGCATAGCGTTGGTGAGACCATCGTTTGAACAGTGTTATTTTAGTGTTCATATTCAGATGCTCGCATTTCAGAATTGGTGCCATTTGGTCTCAAACTTGATTCCCATTAATGCATCTTTGCTGGATTTCTTTATTAATTCGTCTGTCTTCAAAAAAAAAAAAAAAAAAAGCTCCCCAGATATTTAAATCCTTCACCTACTTTAGCTGATCTTCGTCAATTTTCATATTGGTGGTTCTTCTTCTTCTTTTTTTTTCTTCTGGAGATTGTCATCATTTTTGTTTGGTCTGCGTTGATCTTCATATCATAGTTGTCGCATTCTGAGGGTGGTCTCTTAATATATTCTTGTAGTTGTACTGCTGCTGTTGGTGCTGTGATCGCCTGGTCATCTGTGAAAAACAAGTCATTTAGTAAATCTCTGATGTCCTCCCCTTCCCTTTATAGATGTTAGCTGAGTTACAAATCTGGTTGAATAATGGTAGTGGTGATAGAACGCACCCCTGCCTCACTTTAGATCTAATGTAGAACTTTTCTCATATTTCTGTATTAATTATAACTGCGCATTGACTAATAATCACTTATCAATTCTTGCACAATTTAATAAGGTGCTTATTTACTCTGTAATCCTCTAGTACTTTCCATAATTTATTCCTATTAACTGGATTTTCTTTGGGAGTAAGTTGCTATATCAACCTGTTAGTGGCTTTTATCTTCTTCAGATCAACAACCTTTCATTGCTGTTGTATAGTGATTATTGAGGATTTGAAGTTTGGATCATTTTTAATTCGTTTAAAAATTAAAAAATGATCGTCCTTCTGCTCAACCATCAGTCCTTCTGCTCTACCATCAGTCCTTCTGCTCCACCATCAGTCCTTCTTTCTGCTCCACCATTAGTCCTTCTGCTCCACCATCAGTCCTTCTGCTCCACCATCAGTCCTTCTGCTCCACCATCAGTCCTTCTGCTCCACCATCAGTCCTTCTGCTCGACCATCAGTCCTTCTGCTCCACCATCAGTCCTTATGCTCCACCATCAGTCCTTATGCTCCACCATAATCTTTCTGCTCCACCATCAAGATGCAGGGCACACACTTTTCAGTCATTTGTCTGATTTATTAGGAGTGCTAGTAGGAGGGCTAGCTCTTACCTACAAATAAATAAAATTGTTAGCTTCTTGCTTCAACCTCTTTGATAGTCAGATGTTGATCATTGTATATGATTTCTTGCAGACATAACATGTTCTCAGCTGTTTGGGAAGAAGATTATCTGCCTTGATGTTGATTATTTTTGAAGACAAAATCTTCATGTGTCTATGTTTGCTAAATTAATCGTTAAAATATGTTAATCTGACTAGAATGGTTCAAAGCTTAGAATTAAATGTGCATTCTTTGGCAAATGCAGATGAACATTTCATTTTCTATTAGTAATAATTAAAATGGCTGCCTCATGCACTAAATAAAATTTATATACCTGCCTCTGTTTTTTCAGCTTGTTTTTTCAGTATGTTGACAGATACATTTTGACTCTAACTCCAGATTTTATTCTGCAGCTTTTGGAAGGTAATTTTTTTTTTTCACATTTATGTTCTTCTTCTGCCCTGAATCCCCCTATGGAACATGTGCCATAAACCATGCTATGACATGCGTCCCAATCCATGTCCTCCCTATCTTGTTTAACTTCATTCTCTAGCTTTTTTCTCTATGTGTTTTAGTCTGCCTTTATTTCTAGTCCCTGTAGGTTCCAGTGCAGTGTTGAATGTTGAGTTAAGAATCAACATCACTGCACTCGGGACATCCCCATAAACGTTCTATCCCCATCTTCAGCAGCAAGTGAAGAGTTCCAATTCTAATGACACCAGTAACTGTCTGATTGAATATCCATCTCACCTTTCTCCTGAGTGTTGAGCGCCGGCCAAATTCCCTTGTAACTACTGGCAGCGCCATTCTCCCCAGACTGTAATTCCAGTGCAAAGACATTCTTTTTAATTTGTTATCAGCTTTTCTGAATGTGTGTCCTATCCAATTCCAGCATCTTTTCATCGGTTATTGACTTTGCCAGAAATGACTAAACTCCCAGAACTTTGCATGACTGATTCTGTCATATCATTTAACTGGCTCTATTATGTGCAGACACCAGTTAATGAACATTTATAGTTTATTAGTAATTGTTTTGAGTTGTTCTCCATGTTTCAGCTCCATTTAAGGCTACTTACTGATTTGATATTACAGATAAATATTTTAAGTGGAGTACTAGTTTTATCGTAAGCCAGCATACCGCGATCAAAACCCACTGCAGGCTGCGTGGATTTTGTCGTGGTATGGGACGTCGCAGGTCCACCCAGCCTAAAATGGGTACCAGGATGGGCTGTCCTGGGAAAGTAAAGACAGCCGGCGTAATGCTGACCACATTACCCACAGAGTGCTGATGGTCTGTAAAAATATGGGACGCTCTGCCCATATGCCCGATGCGCCGAAAGGCGTGAAAAGGGAACTTTACTTACTAGTTTTAATGTCATTTAATTTCTAAAGATTTCCTAGTGCTATGAAAACTTCTCTTGCCTTTTGTATTCCTATTTTAATGTCACTGTCATTTCCCCTATCTTTATCTATATTACTACCATAAAAGTTGTATGTATCCATATTTTGAAGTGTGATATCATCAAGATAAACTGCAATGTTTACCTGGTTTATTCTTATTATTTTTATCTTTTATCTATGGGTTTGTAGACCTAGTTGTTGTGATCTCACATCAGGCATGTTTAATTTATCTTGCTTATAGTTTTGTGAATGGGACAGAAGTGAAATATCATCAGCAAAGTCTTTGATCGTCAAGCTTTTCTGTAGGGGTCCACTGAACTCCATACCTGATGGTAGCTGCTGCTGTCTTCATGATCCAGTCTATTACCAGTAAAAATAGTAGAGATGACAAAGGCATCCTTGTCACACACCTGGTCTTATTTCAGATGTATCTCTTAGTTTTCCTTCATGAGGAACTCAGAATTTCATGTGTTTATTTCCTGCTTTTACCAAATTAATTATCGTTTCAAAGTCCACAAATTCAGTGTTTATGTAGTGAATTCAATTCAGTACTATAATGCATACTGGACAATATTCCTTTTGTGATGAATCGTTAAAGCATAGGATACATTTAAAATATAAAAAAATAAAGAAGAATTAGCTGCCTCACTGACTTTATGTTTTTGTATTTTCCTAATATCTTTATGCACTTAACTTGTAACCAAAAAAAAAAAAAAAACCTTTTAAAGATACATAAATTTTGATCTGTTCTAATATTTCATCTTCTGAAAATATGTGTGCATCAGTGCTGACTTTCCTCAAACAAAGGATCAATAATAGAACTATCTTGATTCAGTCTTAGTCGAGGTTCTTAGTCACCCCATACTTGCTCCATTCCTGGGCCAGTGAAAATCAGATGAAATGTCGCTCACTGTCACATTTGAAAAACTAGCAATCCAGAAATTTGCTCAGGCGCTAAATGCATATGGCAGTTGCTAGAGGCGCCAAAGCCAGCAATCACCACCAGAAATACAGTTTGTCATTGATGGAAGAAGTTGGTCACTGTAGTGAACCTCATTTTCTTCTAGATAAATTATGTCCCAGACGGAATGACGTCAGCTAATAAATGTGAGTGGAATATTTTGAGTGTAACTGGGACAACACGTGAATTGTAGAGAAATGCTGACAGACGAACTTCATGTGGATTACAAAGAATTGCTGGCCAGAGAAATTCACGGGGATCACATAGAAACTGCTGGCCAAAGGGAATTCTTGTGAATCGGGGAACATGGATAATTCAGAATCACGAGGAGGGCTTTAGAAATGTATATAATGCCTTGGAAAGGGCTGGTGGGTCAGTGTCTGTTAGGCCTAGGAAATGAATACATGAAGTATGAAGGAGTGTCTGCTGGATCCAGAAAAAGTGTTCAAGTCTGACGTGTCTGCACAGCGTTTTTCCAACGCCTACCTGGCCATCAGTAGCGGCTAACGGAAGTGCCGTAGCCAGCTGAGTTTGTGTGTGTTTTGATCGGATGGACTCGTCGTTATCTTTCAATTGCTGGATGGAATGTTTGTTATAAGGTATAGTTGACATGTTCGATAAGTGAGGATAGATATGAGTGATTGTGTTGTACCATAACATTTGCTGGCTGCAGTACCAGTGAGTGAACAAATAAACAAGCGGTGTGTGTTATATGGATCGTTTGCCAGCGTCCATGTTTTCTCGTATGTTGTCAGTCAGTGAATGGAAGCGTGCAGTGACTAGAGCCAGAAGAAGACAATAGAGAGTCATTGTAGTCACAATAAGTTGGCTATACATGCGTAAAATCCTTACATAACGTATGTCACCAGCCACATAAACTGGCTGCTGACCGTATTGAACACCATGCTGCACAAATAAAAGGCAGTCCACATGAAAAAGCAGAGCTCGCAGAGCTCATAGTTCCTGCAGTAAGCTCTAAACTCAGGCATAGAAACTGCAGACTTCTATCCATTTGTGGAAACTACATTAGCAAAGTGCAGTCGGAAACAAAAATAATTAAAGCTAAAACATTCTGCCATGCCTAGTCCTCCATATTTGACCGGAAGTCAGAACTATCTTGGAGAAATCTTAACATCTGATGTAAAGATTATTTTTAAAAATGGCCATGGCAAAAATAGCCCATTTTCATATGGAAGAAAAACCCATCAAATGATGTCATATGCAGTGAGAAAATCAGTGTTAAAGCTATTATATAGAGCAAACATAGACAGTGAGTATGCAGACTGAAAAACAGTGGAAAAAATGAAAATAATGCTAAGAATATAATAGGCTGACATAAACAAATAAATCCTCCTCAAGACAGACAAAAACCATAAACTAGTTGAAAAATTATGTGTAGACAGGATTTGATGAACTTTTTTTTTTAATTAAAAAAAATGACAACAGGTGTGCTTGATGGAAACAAGAGCAAAGTGAAGAGAAAAGGATAAATACCTGGATGTCTTGGCTACATAGTTTTCACAGGACAAAAACACTGACCTCATCCATGATTTTGGTTATCCTGTGAGATTTTTTTTTTTTTTTTTACGTATCCAGAAACCATGAGTTGTAAACCCTTTGGCTCGGTACTATGGATATCGCAACCCTTCGGCCTTGATTCCATTATAGGTACCGTTAATCTGGGAGAAATGTGGCTTTTCTGCCTACCCCCGGGAGTGAACCCGGACCACAAGGAGTTCGTCACCCGGCCGCCGCGAACGTCAGGTTTAACCAACTTCGCTAGAGAGCCGGGCAATCCTGTGAGATTGGGAACCATAACTGTCTAGACTTATCAACATAGTGAATGATGTATCTGCTTCTTTTACTGCAGTCCTTGTCAGTTCTGTTTTGTCTCCTGAAACTGTTCAGCATCACATTGACGTTTGTTTCTCTCCTGTATGTAGATCTTCATGACGAGGCTGATGAAGAGGTGCCATTTATCAAGTTTCAAGTCATTTCCCGCCTGCCCAAGGTAAGTGTCATTTATAAGTATTTTGTTGTACACAGTTTCACTCTGCATTAATAGCAATACTCCACCTTCTCCTCCTTATTCTCCCCCTCCTTCTCTTCCTCCTCCACCTTCTTCTTCTTCTTTTTCTTCTCCTTCATTTTCTCCTCCTCCTCCTTCTTCTTCTTCTCCTCCTCCTTCTTTTCCTTCTTCTTCTCCTCCTTCTTCTTTTCCTCCTCCTCCTTCTTCTTCTCCTCCTTCTTCTTCTTCATCATCATCATCATCACCATCATCATCATCATCAGCTGTAAACTGCAGCAGTTGTTGATTCACTTCTGTTTTATAGACCATTTTTATTTGTGTACAGACTGTGAGTTCCTCACCTCTCATGCAGCTGCAGTCTGACTTCAAAGGAAACATCACTCCTGTTTACATTACTCCTGCCCCCAGTTAGGAACCTGTTTATAGGATGACAGCGAAGAGTTGTTCACCAGTATGAACCCTAGTCCTGTGGCACCACTTTGTGTGGTTCAGTGCCTGTTCATCCCTGTTTTTTTCTTTCTGATATTGGATGATTATGTTTGTCCTAACATTCTTGGCTATTTATTTTCCATAGTTTTTATAATTATTAATTTACGGTATGTGAGGAGGTCGGCTTGATGCTGACCACATCACCCATCTTGTGCCGATTGGTCTATAAAATATAGGTCTAGCCCTATATGCCCTATACGCCTAAAGGCGTAAAAAGGATCCTTTACTTTTTTACTTATCTGAGGAGGTGCATTTGGGATGTTCCTCTTCATTGATACTAGGGGTCAGGGTGGTAATTCCCAGTTCTCTGAATACTTCTGAAAGCCAGTCAAAACTTGTAAGTTATTTCTTATATTATTTCATTATTAACCCCATTAACTGCCCTTCAACTTTATTCCTTGTCTACAGGCAGCCTGATAGCCATGATTTGTTAGTTAGTTGGTTGGTTAGTCGACAGATTATCCTTATCTCATATCTAACCATTCAGTCCATAAGTGCTTGGATCCCCTTTCTAGTAAATCCCACAGCGTGTAGCGGCTTACAATACCAGTTCTGTGTTGGTTTCTTATTCTTCTTTGGCTTCCTGCATGGTGCTCTTGTCTGGCCACATCTCTTTTAACATGCCGTTCTTGCAGTCTGGTCATTGTCGCAGATTCACAGTCATCACTTGGTTCTCGCAAATGTCTGACTTCTCGAAGAACATTCAGTACATCAGCCTAGCTCATGGCTTGTCTGCCCTCCATTGTTGCTTTACCTGCAGGTCGATCAGCTTGCTCATTTCCTTGCACGCCTGTGTGCCCTGGCACAAACATGAAACTGATATGTGTCAGCCCTGACTGCTTTAGAGACTCCAGCTACTGTCTTCAGAACCAGCCCTTCTCTATCTTTCTGAGCATGCTCATTGAATCACTGAGAAAGCATGCGTGGTAAAAGATCTGTGTCTCCAGCCATGTTATTGCCTTGGTCACTGCCATGACCTCCTAGCCATGATATATCTGGATGTTAACAATGCAGCCTATCGGTGTACCTGTGTATCCACGTTTGTTCTGATATTGGATGGTTATGTTTGTCTAACATTTGAGGTTTTTTAAATTTTCCATAGTTTTTATAATTGTTAATTGATGGTATAAAGTAAAGTAATTTGGATTATTGTTATATTGTTTTATGCACTATTAATTCCTGATAAAGGAATTATTTTTAACATTATACCATTTAATAGGTTCCAGCAGCTCTCTCAAAAAAGTGTCTTTTTTCCAGTTGATATTTCTTGCAGTTCAGTAAACAATGTTCAGTACTATTATGATTCCAGCATTCGGCCAAGATGTCGTCGTTTATAAGTAAAATAAGCTGAAACGTTTGATTTGCTTCCTTCATTAGAAAATACTGAGCAGATTATTTGATTTGCAAATTGTGTGTGCGTGCGTGCATGTGTGGGTGGGTGGGTGCGTGCTCGCGCGAGAGAAGAGAGAGAGAGACAGAGAGAGAGAAAGAGAGAGAGAGAGAGACATCTTACATTTGTTTTCTCTGAGAAGGTTGTCAGATAACAGAGAACTTATTTTACAGCCTATTGCAGAAGAGTGCTTTGAACGGTGGAACCACCCAATAATGCAACAAAGGAAGGCAAGACAACAAGTCACTCAGATTCTCCTTCAGGGTGAGGAAGACATTTTTAAGTGACATTTTACAGACAGATATTCTTGGTTTTGCTTGTTTTCATTTGGTACGCTGTGCTTGTAGATTGAACAATCTACTATCACATAGCTTGTTGTGTATAGTCTTCATATATTAGCTTTTCTATACTCAAATATGTATATCTACAAAATAAGCTTATTTTGCATGCAGTATTATTTGCTTCAGGCCATGGTGATGTAGTGGTTAGTTTGCTTGCATATCGAGACAGTGGGTGCAGGTTCAGTCTCCAGCCGTGGTAGGATTATGTCACCCACTGGAGTCGACCCAGTCTAGCAAATTAGTACCAAATAACTTATCATAATGGGATATTATTATAAATATCATTAGGCTGCCATTTCACAGTGGCCAGATACCTGCCGGCCCTTGAAGGTCTAGATAAAAATTGGCCTTGGCTTCCCTGTCAACCTAGCCTCCAGGGCTGCCAGGTAAGTTACTGGGAAGTAAAGCTAACTGATGGGATGGTGATGTTGACCACATCACCCAGTGAATGCCAGTTGGTCAATATAAATCTAAAATTAGCATAAGATCTTTTGCTTTTTTAGCTTCTTCTTCTTCTGTCCGTCAGCATCTGTGGCCTAGATGTTGCGAACGTGCTTTGTAATGCCAGGGTGCCGGGTTCAATTCTTTCTGTGGACGATTTGTCTTGCGCTGGTTTCGACAGTGGTACCGAGAGCTGACCATTCAGACAGCAGTGGCAAACTACTGAATATAAAATTTGTCTAGAGAAACCACAACAGCCAATAAATGCTGGGGTTGGTTCTTCAAAATCCTGTAAAGGATATGCAACTAACTTTTTTTTCCTTCTGTCCCTTATCTCCCAATGAAGAATAGGCCCTCAACCAACTCACACCAACTTTATTTCTTGTCTTCTAATTATCATAATGTTTCAAGTAATCGTCTGAGAAGGAAAGGCAGCAATAAAATTAACTGATTATCTCATTTCTAATTTAGTGACCTATAATATGTGATGTCCTGACATTTTGTATCACAAAAGTGAAGCGGTATTTAAATAAAGAACTACTTTTAATTAATATTTTTAGTAGCCTTCAGCAAACTAATATTTAGCGTTTATGTCTTAACCCTTTCGCCACAGAAATTTTCAACACTGGGGTCATGAACCTGCGGCAGGGTTCAGGGCTTCTCTTGGACACTGGGTTAATCTGAAAACTAAAACTGGGCTTAGCTACCTATAGTTGTTAACTTGGAACTCAAAGATGAGAGTAATGTTATGACTGTTTAGCTGGTAACTCAGAGCTGAAAGTAGCGTTGTTGTTGTTGTCTTTAGCTGGTAACTCAGAGTAGTGAAAGTAGTGTTGTTGTTGTTGTCTTTAGCTGGTAACTCAGAGCTGAAAGTAGTGTTGTTAGTTGTGTTGTTGTTTAGCTGGTAACTCAGAGCTGAAAGTAGTGTTGTTGTTGTTTGTCTTTAGCTGGTAACTCAGAGCTGAAAGTAGTGTTGTTGTTGTTGTCTTTAGCTGGTAACTCAGAGCTGAAAGTAGTTGTTGTTGTTGTTGTTGTCTTTAGCTGGTAACTCAGAGCTGAAAGTAGCTGGTAACTCAGTGAAAGTAGTGTGTTGTTGTTGTCTTTAGCTGGTAACTCAGAGCTGAAAGTAGTGTTGTTGTTGTTGTTGTCTTTAGCTGGTAACTCAGAGCTGAAAGTAGTGTTGTTGTTGTCTTTAGCTGGTAACTCAGAGCTGAAAGTAGTGTTGTTGTTGTTGTCTTTAGCTGGTAACTCAGAGCTGAAAGTAGCGTTGTTGTTGTTGTCTTTAGCTGGTAACTCAGAGCTGAAAGTAGTTGTTGTTGTTGTTTTAGTGGTAACTTGAAAGTAGCTGTTGTTGTAAACTCAGAGCTGAAAGTAGTGTTGTTGTTGTTGTTTAGCTGGTAACTCAGAGCTGAAAGTAGTGTTGTTGTTGTTGTCTTTAGCTGGTAACTCAGAGCTGAAAGTAGCGTTGTTGTTGTTGTCTTTAGCTGGTAACTCAGAGCTGAAAGTAGTGTTGTTGTTGTTGTCTTTAGCTGGTAACTCAGAGCTGAAAGTAGTGTTGTTGTTGTTGTCTTTAGCTGGTAACTCAGAGCTGAAAGTAGCGTTGTTGTTGTTGTCTTTAGCTGGTAACTCAGAGCTGAAAGTAGTGTTGTTGTTGTCTTTAGCTGGTAACTCAGAGCTGAAAGTAGTGTTGTTGTTGTTGTCTTTAGCTGGTAACTCAGAGCTGAAAGTAGTGTTGTTGTTGTCTTTAGCTGGTAACTCAGAGCTGAAAGTAGTGTTGTTGTTGTTGTCTTTAGCTGGTAACTCAGAGCTGAAAGTAGTTGTTGTTGTTCTTTAGTGGTAACTCAGAGCTGAAAGTCTTTTGTTGTTGTCTTTAGCTGGTAACTCAGAGCTGAAAGTAGTGTTGTTGTTGTCTTTAGCTGGTAACTCAGAGCTGAAAGTAGCGTTGTTGTTGTTGTCTTTAGCTGGTAACTCAGAGCTGAAAGTAGTGTTGTTGTTGTCTTTAGCTGGTAACTCAGAGCTGAAAGTAGTGTTGTTGTTGTTGTCTTTAGCTGGTAACTCAGAGCTGAAAGTAGTGTTGTTTTTGTCTTTAGCTGGTAATTCAGAGCTGAAAGTAGTGTTGTTGTTGTCTTTAGCTGGTAACTCTTGTAGTGGTTGTTGTTCAGCTGGTAGCTGAAAGCTGAAAGTAGTATTGTTGTATGTTGTCTTTAGCTGGTAACTCAGAGAGCTGAAAGTAGTGTTGTTGTTGTCTTTAGCTGGTAACTCAGAGCTGAAAGTAGCGTTGTTGTTGTTGTCTTTAGCTGGTAACTCAGAGCTGAAAGTAGTGTTGTTGTTGTGTAACTCCCCCCCCCCCCCCAATCTTTAGCTGGTAACTCAGAGCTGAAAGTAGTGTTTGTTGTTGTGTCTGAGTCTTTAGAGCTGGTAACTCAGAGCTGAAAAGTAGAATGAAAGTAGTGTTGTTGTTGTTGTCTTTAGCTGGTAACTCAGAGCTGAAAGTAGTGTTGTTGTTGTCTTTAGCTGGTAACTCAGAGCTGAAAGTAGTGTTGTTGTTGTCTTTAGCTGGTAACTCAGAGCTGAAAGTAGTGTTGTTGTTGTCTTAACATATGCTTCATATTCAAATCGTATACATTAAGTTAGAAAGAAGCTATGTTTGACCTTGATATACTTCAGGACAGCAGGGGGGTGTTCATAAAAGTTGACCAAATGTATACATTAAGTTAGTAAAGAAGCTATTTTGCACCAGTGACATAATGGGTATGTGACACAAGATTAATTTTTTTTTAAAGACCATTAGAACTGGGGAGATATCATGGCTCAAGTGGGGAACTTGACTAAGGTTGTTGGTGCTTTCTTTACTTCCCAGGGCATTACACATGTTTCTCATTTCTTTTGGCCAGATCGACCTGGGACCCAAGGTTAATTTTTTTTTTTAGCGTGTGCACACACACACACGCACACATGCATGTGCATGCACATACAATGTCAAGTGCATTGTTTTTGAAGAGGCAAAATATTGTGGAAGCCAGATTTTCTTCATAAAAGTTGACCAAATGTAAACATTAAGTTAGTAAAGAAGCTATTTTGCACCAGTGACATAATGGGTATGTGACACAAGATTAATTTTTTTTAAAGACCATTAGAACTGGGGAGATAAAGTGGGGAACACTACTCCTGCTTTCTTTACTTCCCAGGACATTACCTTGTTCTCATTTCTGGCCAGATCGACCTGGGACCCAAGGTTAATTTGCGAGCGTGTGCACACACACACACACATGCATGTGCATGCACATACATACAGAAACACACACACAAATACCATGATGGGGATTTGAACCTAAGACCTTGGGGCTGCCAAGCTTGAGTCTAGCCAGTACATTATGGGAGCTCCCAGTTTTGGATGAAGAAAAAAAAATACTTGATTGTTTGAATTCAAAGGAAAAGCTCATCACACGCCATATGTTGTTTCAGTTTGAAACAGTGAAGCAGGAAAAGATAATCAATGAGGTGTCATATCCACAACGAAGGTTGGCTGCTATTGGATCTTCAACACACTCTTTTTCCTGTATTGGTTGTACACTCTCAGCCGTTTTGTTCATCAATCCCTTTACATTGTCCTTTCACTTGTATCACTAGCTACCTCCTGCTCTCTTGCCCTTTGACTTTTCCCTCCTGTATGGCTTTTAAAAATGTAGATAAAAGAGGATAAGATGGTTAAACTTGACTGTCTTCACAACTCACCTGTCAATTGAGGGAAGGGACATTACAGGCTCATTAAAGGAGGTTATATCCTTCAAGTTAAATTGTGTGCACTCTACACTGAAGGCTGGCTACAGTGCAGCTGTCTTTAGGAATATTGAATAGTGAGGCCCCAATCTCTTCTGTGGCACAACTCTCATACACAACTCTCGTCCGAAAGCAGTGAGAACATTTCTTTTTTAAATTAAACTGTTGGCTGCAGAAATTAAAACCTAGAACTAGAGGATTGTGAAGTTATCCTGAAACCTTTGTCAGTTTTGTGTCAAAATCATTCTTTACATGCCTATACTAAATCTGTGGCTTAGAAGCTGTGAATGTAGTTTTATAATCAAAACATACCAGGGTTTGAAGTCAGCAGCGGGTGATCTCGTAACAGATCACTTTGTATTGATATTGACAGCCAAATTAGAGTTATATTGTCCCTCCCCCCCCCCCTCCCAATTTGGGTTCCAGGGCCCTATTATAGGGAAAACAAGAATAGACCCACTGCCTACCCAAAAGCATGTCGTAAGAGTCGACTAATTGGGAGCTTCCTTCAAAGTTGGAGTGCATCTGCCTGAGTGGCAAGGAACCAGTAGTTTGCACACAAATGTTTCAGATCTGTCAAACGGATGCACACCCAACACTCAGGTTCTGGAACAGGACTGCAGTCCAAAAGTGGACAAACAACAAGAACTTTCCACCAGAGTTTACAGCTGGTGAAAGCAAAGAAGAACAAAGAAAAAAGATATTGTTCCAAAAACAGTAGCAGTAGATTGACTGAAGTTAAAATTGCCAAGTAAAATCACACAACAGCAGATGCATAGGGTTGGTTGGCAAAATCCCATTATGGATATACAACTAATTACTTAGAGATTCTACAGATACAAGAGTTAAATAACTTGAAAAGCCCAGTTAAAATTTACATATTTTAGAATTTAGACCCAAAAAAAGACACATACATCTAGCTGATTCCTTTTAATGCAGGGGCTGTATGGGATGTTTATAAGTTTTACAAACTAGGATTGTGAACTTTCTTGACTCTGGAGTACGGGATCAGATTAAACTTCTCATATTAAACTGAAAAACAGAGAGAACATGTGTGCTCATTATACAGTCAAACAGCCAACCAATCAACCCCAGTAGGTAGTCAGCCAAAACTCACTAGATAGCCAACTAACTAAACTACCTCTAACCAACCAGTCAACCCAGTAGACAGTCAACCTGTGACTGAAACCACCCACTAGCCAATCAACTAGCTAACCAACCTACTAGTTAGTCAATAAACCAACCAGCCTACTTAGCTATCCAATAAACCAACTAGCCAGCTAACCACAATTATTGGCATAACTGCTTCTGTCCCCTTTATATTACCATTTTAACACTTAACAAACGTAAACTTTGTAGCTTGAGAAGACAGCCCATGAGATAACACAAGTTAAAGCAACAACTGTCTGGGACTGAAAAAGTTGAGAACACGTTTTGCTTTCATATTTATTCATATTTACTTTGCTTTTCATAAATAGGCTTTCAAATAACTCTTTTTTAATGATTTGTCAAATGTATGCTGCTGAAAATGTAGACTACCCAACTAGCACAGCCCAGATTGCTACAGGCCAAGACAAAGGTTAGACTATTGTCCCTTGCAGATGTATTTATAGGCTTTTGTTGTGCTTTCATTTTGTTGATTATTTTATGTTGTATTCATGGTGACTGTCTTTTGTCATGTATGTTACTGGCTAAATATGGTTAACACATAAATGCATGACCTATGGGGTCTGTGACCTACTTTCTCAAATATCTAATGGGTCTGCAGGTGTAAGCTAATTAAGAAAAGATATAAAACCAAACAAAAAGTATATTAGAAAGCTTCACAATATAACAAACACTAACAAAACTGTGAACATTGCGGCTATTGAGCCTTCATCAGCACATACAAATGAAACAATGCTACACAGATACACAAAATCACTTAGCTGGCATCTCAAAGCAGCCGGGTTGGTTGTTTCTCAGCAGAATAAGCTCATTAAGAACCACTTTTCTGTTTTACTATTGGTCGGATTATACTAAAGAAATGTGGCTTCTCCGGTATTTATTTTCATTTATTCAAAGCTTTATATTGTTATTATGTTTATATGCGGTGAACTTAAATAATGAGAAGGCAAATGATATTATGATAGACTTCTATAGTGAGATTTACGATGTAACGGGAAGCAATGTGATTTACTTATTTAAATTAAAAGAATTTTTTTTTTTTTTTAAATTTTAATTCTATGTTGATGTAACTTCTGTAGTAATACACCAGATAAAGTAAAATAAAATCTGATGCTGAAAGGCAGAAAAGGATGAAAGAAAAAGAAGAGGAAGACAGAAAAAAAAAGTCATAAATTATGCTACAGTATTTTGTATTGTTGTTTAATTGTCACAGCGTCTGCCAGTTTAAGAAATTCAGAGGGATAGGGATAGATATATGCATGGTTTCTATAAGCTACGTCCGCGTCTGTGGCTAAGGCGTTGCGAACGTGCTTCATAATGCCAGGGTGCCGGGTTTAATCTCAGCTGCGGGCCTTGCGTCTTGCGTTAGTTTCGACAGTGGTACTGAGAAGTCAACCGTCCAGAAAGCAGTGGCAAACTACTGGACACAAACTTACCCTAGAAAAACCACAACAGCCAAAAAATGCTGGGGTTGGTTCTGCAACGTCCTGTAAAAGGATACGCAACTAACTTTAACTATGAGCTACTGCAATAGATTTGTTGTTATGTTATGAATAGTTTTGAGTCATTGTAACTAGCAACAGCTGACTAGAAAAAGCTGATTGAAGTATAACTGCAAAGTATGTGCAGATAACTTTAAATATAAGAATATATAAGAAAAAAAACATGGCTCTTTGATAATGTGGTTGAGAGAGTTTTTGGAGAACATTGTGATAACGAGAAAAATAAGTCGTAGAAGAATAAATGAACAAACAAACTTTATTTTCGAAGGATCACAAATTGGGCGCGCAGGCCCATCTGATATTTGGCCCTTCCAAACAACACTCATCTTTCACACAGCAGTTGTATTTTATCCATAAATTATGTTATGTTCATATGATAATATGCATATTATGAATATCAAGAAAAAATACGAAAGCATGAGTGGTAAAATACAGGCTTACACTTGCACGCACATATATGCACACCCACACACAAACCAACTCACAAACTTACACACACACATACACACACACATACATACATACATAATACCTACATACATATGTACACACACCACATACACACACACATACACACAGGCACACCGACACACACAGAGTCACAGAGATATACACACAGGCAGATGACAAGAAATGATTCAGGTTAATCTGAGACAGGAGCATGAAAGAATATCATCAAAAGAATATATATGGAACACCGAGATCCAAAATATATTGAGGGGTTTATGTGTCTGTACCATCTGACTAGGCACATAATGATGATGCTATGATGAAAATGTTTCTCCCAATCTGTAAATTTCAGTATTTCATTATGTAGGTCGAAGGTCTCATGAGAGTAGTGGCAGATACACATCAATGGATACAGTTGATGACAACAAAGTCTTCCCACCGCTGGACACACTAATGAAACATCTTCAAACTGTGGTCTCAGGTAATTGCTTGTTTGTTCTCAAATCTTCACTCAAGCACATCTAAGAAAAACATCTGTATTATTCATGTTTTTTTTTAAAAAGAGAAACTAAAAGAGATAAAGCCTTATTACATGTTTTCTGAGTTGCTGAGTCCATTCCCAATGGGCAAATATAAATTTACAAACAGCACTTAATTTGTGATGCAGAAAGTATCAGATTCATTGAGATGGTATTTAATATTTTTTTTTTAACGCTTTAAGTTCTGAAAGTTGTCCAAGAGATGGAAAAAAAAGGGTAAAAGAAATAAAATATTTATTTAAAAAATGCGAAATGCACGTCAGCACCACAGCTGTAGAAACTATATTTCTTCAGTTTTGTCTTAACCAAATATCTTCTTCTTTGCCGGGTTAACCAGCTGTAAACTCATGCAGTAGGCTGTTTTACAGATCTGGCTTATTTGTATGCAGACTGCTGGTTCCTTGCCATACAGGCAGATACATTCTGACTTCAAAGGAAACCCAAAACACCTAATTAGTTGACTGTTACGACATCCTTGTTATGGAAGCAGTGGGTTATTCTTTGTTCCCCTCTATAATGGACCCATGACACAGTGGTGACAACTAGAAAAGATATATTTCTTTAGTACTGTCTTAACCAAACGTAAACAGTTTTAGAAACCACCCAGTGGTGATTGGGATTCCCCAGTGAGAAACAGTCACATGCCATCCATTGCTTAGGACTAAATGAGTTAATACATAAAAGTAAGTAAAAGACCCTTTTCCAAGCCTTTAGGCGTATAGGGCATATAGGGCTAGACCTATATTTTATAGACCAACAGCACAAGATGGGTGATGTGGTCAGCATCATGCCGGAGTTTTATACATACAGCTAGGGGCAATCTGATTGTATTGACAGCAATAATATTGGTTTAATTCAAGCTATGAATCTTACTGAAGAAGTTTTATCACTTTGCAGGTATGACTCCAACAAGACCAATCTCTTATGACACTAATCTGATAGAAAATATGGCACTATTCAACACCAAGACCAAGACAACGTTTTGACCTATCAACTGTTAACTTTTGACCTTTGCACTTTTAACTCTTCAGTGAAATGAATCAGTTGTCTTTTATATTTTTTCTTTCATTTTAAGCAGAAGGGAGCTACCAGAATATTAGAAGTATCTTAATAATAAGCCAAATAAAGAATTGTAGGTATGGGTAGATTGTACTGTTCATTGTCTGTGCCACTAAGGCAAACATCTTCTGACTTTAAATGTTTGAGGTTGCTTCTTTCACTAGGCTAATTGCCCTTCTAGGCTTTGCCTATCATAGATAGTTCAATGTGGTGTTGATAAATAAAATAAAAAAAGGTACTTTCAGGGTGTGTATGAATTGAAGTGTACACTAATACTTACTCCTCACATCCATGTAATCAGTGACAGTTAACATTAAACAGGTTAGTAACAAATAAAACTATGCAAGTGTATTGAAGAGGAGAATTGATTAAAATCTTGTGATATGTAAGAGGAAGCAAGTGAGAACTATTATTTTACAGAATATTTAAACAAAACGTAAATTTCAAGACAAAATGGAATTCAAAAATTCCTTTTCTCAAGTGAATGTTGAATTGAGAATCAATATCACATAACTCGGGAACTCCCATAAGTTCTCCATCCCCCATCTTCAGCAGCAAAAAAAAAAAAAAAAAAAATTATTCCTTAAGTGAAATAAATGACAGAAGCTGGAATCAAAATAATGAAAAATTAATTTTTAAAATTTTGAAAATATGATGGGATGAATTGAAGAATGAAAGTAAAAGTGTGTTAACATATGCATTCAGTTTTTTTGTATGTAAAATAATTAAATGGTTTGATTCACAATAGCCTGCATGAAAACTTTAATACCTAATTGTTTACAAACTTTCTACCCAGTTATTGTACTTCGAAATAATCGTAAGTTCAATTCTTCATCATCATCATCATTAATGTAAGCATTGAAAATGTGTTGTGCCTGTTTACAGCATAGCTGTAATATCTTTGCCTTTTGGCTGACACATCCAGCTTCTTCTCTTTTTGGCTGAAACATCCAACTTTTTTGCCTAGCCTTCGTGGTTAGTTTAGTGGAGAATGTGTAGCCTTTTTTATGTGATGACCATCAGCCCCTGATCCACAGGTGTTAAGGACCCATCCAGGGCAGCCACATGCAAATTGGTTGACCCTCAAGGAATAAAATTGTTTAATTAGTTTGTTGTTACATCTTGTTATCATATTTATAGTATTTTATCCACCATTTTTTTTTCAAAAATAAATTATTTGAAAGTTTGTATTACATGTTGTTTAATTAATAAATTGTGCAAAATACAAGTGGTTTGGTACTGAACAAATGTCCTGTTAATATTTATTTTGAATATATTATCTCTGTTATCCCCCCCCCCCCCACCCCCAAATCACATAATGTTTGAGCATTTGTTTGTTGATGTAATCAATAACTATTGCCAAGTTGTGTATGACTAAGCGATTAAACAGTTAGTTGACAATTGATGTTTTCTTTAATATATATGAAATAAAGTATTAAACTGAAAGTAAATCCCAGTGCACAATCTCTCTGTAACGAAGAAATTAATTTTTGTGAAAGCCAAATTTCACTTTAATTGGTTTCACAGTTAATCTAATCTTCTGTTTGTTAAAACATTTTCACTCCTGCCTTTGATGCAGATTCACTGATTTTACTGAGTTAAGAATCAACATTATAGCACTCCTGACATACCCATAGATGCTCCATCTCCTGCAGCAAATGTTTTAAGGTTTAGATGCTAACTGTTCCCGTAGCACACTGATTATACCTTCTCTTCTTTTCACACATCTCTGCTTGCTGGATCCACTCCTTATTCTTTGTTTACACATTCTTACACATGTTATTTATTCTAATCTCATGTCTTCTGTCAACATTCATTCATATATGGTCTTCAGAATATCTCCCTTGTCCAGTACACGTTTTCCAGTAGCTATTGCTTTTGTAGCCAGAAAATCCTCTCTTTCATTCCCTTGCACTCCTGCATGTCCTGGACAGTATATCCATGTGACTCTCTGCAATGTTGGCGTACTGATCTTGGTATCCACTCATACCACATTGGTCTATTTTGAACCTTCTACAGTACCAACTGAGAATCAAGACACACAAATTCCTCTGCTAACTTTGTTTTCTGCTATACAAATCAGAGCTGTAATGATTGCCTCCAGGTCCATCCTCATGCTTGAAGTCTTAGCTAGAAAAGCTTAATTTTGTTCTATTAAAATTTCCCCCTTTATTCTAGCTTAAAATCCCCAGCCAGATCTTATACCCCAATGAAAAGAACCATTGGTGTATACTGCATTATCTAGCCCAGTGTTTTCATCTACAAGTTGTTGTACTTCTATTTCTGCCATACCATTACACCGCTCTCTACATTCTCCTCCCAGTGTTACAGATATATATGCTATACAAATACACATGCTGTCATTGTATGCTTTTTACAAGAGGCCAAGTAAGACAGACATGTGTAGCAAGCACATTAACCAGCTAGACGGAATACGAAATCACAAAAAGGGCCTTACTGGGACAGAGAACACTGCTATATGTGTAGGAGCATTGATCATGGGCGTTAAACAACCTGAATGGCATGCAGCACCACTCAAGGAGGCGCAGAAGGGTCAAAAGCTGTTGTGTGTGTAAAATGTTCACTATTCAATCATAAAGAGGACTAGAGAAAGTTAGTATGTGCATAAAACCATTGATAATGGCATTTGTGAGCCCAATGACATACAGCATTTATGAGGAGAGACCCAGAAGCGTAGAGAAAGTTGTTATTTTTGACTAATCATGGATAATTATGTAGGCACTAATGAGCCCAATGGCATACAGTATCCTTTAAAGATACCTAGAGGGGTAACAAAAGCTATTATGTGTTTAAAACGATTAGTCATGGAGTCCAAATGGCATACAGTACCATTCAAAAAAATTGAGAAAGTTATACTAAAAAAAAAAAACCATTGATCATGGACATTAATAAAAACAAATATCACAAAGAGTCTTTCAAGTGACCAAGAGAGATAAGAGAAAAATGTTATTGAGGTAAAACCATTGGTCATGGTCACTAATCCTGCAGACTGGCTAGATTAATGAAAAGTTATTAAGTATAACATCCTCTCTCTCTCGGTTTATGGATAAAATCATCGCTGGGATGTGCATTTAAAGCATGAATAAGTAGATGATATTCTCTGAAGTGTTTAAGTTTGATTCTGTTCGTTTCCTTTGTTTTCTATAGTAACAGCACTAGTGATGGTATTTGTGGACTCCCAAGTATTAAATTTGTCCTTCATTCATTCAAATCTTTGCCAGTTGCCAAGGATTGGTTAGGTCAGTCAGCTATATTGTTTGATAGGTTAAGATGACTCCAGGTAGCCTCATGAAAATGGGTATTTCTTTTTTGCCACTAAACGTTTGACACATAACATGCATCGGGTGAGGGAGTGACTTGCCATCTGGCGACTGTGACCAAATAAGCATAACGGGCATTCAAGCTCAACTTTCTTTTCTTCTTAGTCACTGGGAATTCTACCTTTGGGTGTAGAGGTTTGCCAGGGAGATCGCCAGACTTCTCTATCAGCAGTTTTCTTTCTGGCTTTGTTCTATCCCAGTCCTCTGTCAGTTAGGGACTGTTAGATGTTGTCTTCCCAGCAGACACTGGGTTGCCTTGGAAGTCTGGTTCCCTGGTTCTTAGCCTCCTGTGCCTGTCAATTTTCTCCCATTCTGCATACATGTCCAAATCATTGTAACTGTGACTAATGCACTCAAGTTTGTAAAGCCGGGGTTTCAAGATCTTGACGTATTATCTGACTGCGAACTTTGTCCCCTCTAACTTTCTCACATTTATAAACTGCGCAGGACAGACCGTCCTTGTTAATTTCTATGCACACATTGCCGTATTCAAACATGTTCCTATTAACACCTGTGATCCTCTCAAATTGTATGAATATACTGAATCACACTTCTGTCATTAAAAAAAATGAATCTAACAGTAACTAGCAGCAGCAGAATTATGATGATGATGACAACAACTACAACCACATACACAATACCCACTCCTATGCATGTGTGCACACGTGCACACACACACATTTATATTATGTTGTAATTATGAAACTGCATTCATAACCCTTAAGCAATTTAGGCTGCCTCAATTTTTTTAAACATTGCTGGGGGAAGGGGGGGGGGGGGGGGGGGGGGGGGGGTTTTAGTAAATTTATACTGCTAATAGTCATAAGAGAATGATAAATGATTTTATATTTAATAAAGACAAAACAGACAAGAAAACAAAACACTACGAAGTATTTTATATAAATATTTTTTTATTAGACGTCACACAACATCATCAGTATTGTTGACATGCAGTTTTTTATCTCTGACAGCAATAATACACAATGGGCTCAGTGTAGACTAAACCCGTGCCTGTATATAATAAAACATGTGCAGTTAGCACTGGATTTTTATATGTCCCAGAAACCTGACAACAGCATTTAAAACATGGCAAAGGAAAGTAGACACACACCTCTATCCAAAAATACCTCAAATATATAACAACATACACAAAATTTATTAACAGTGACATTTTTATGTTCATAAACAAACATTGGGGTTTTGACATCTCTCACCCCATTTTCCTCTTTCTGTGTTTGACATACTTTCTACTATCACCAACAAGAATTAATTAAACAATTTATCTCTATCAGATTCTCCCAATACTTTAAATTACTTTATCATCAAAGCATTATCAGTTGCCGTCACCATACTGATACCAAGATGGCAGGTCCACAACTCTTATGGTTAACTGCTTTCACATTCTTCTTCCCATTACTCGGATTTGTTGCCTTTTCCCCCCACACTAAATATCAAGATGGCCGTGTGAAATTTGTTCTAATGATATTTTCAAACTGCACCCTATTTCCTAAAGCACTGATCAGATCCTATGTCTTCTGATTTTGGACTACCAGGGTGGTATTCACTCTTTTCTATCTCATGTTTAT